TGTGGCTATGATTTTTCGTAAGTGGGCCTTTCTGGTAGAGCTAGACCCTCCTCCTTCGGCAAATTCTCCAGATATCACTCTGATCTCCCCCATAGGTTGCTGGTGTGACTCTGGTGCTTGACGTTGAGAGGGTGGGAGTGGGAGAGCTGGGTTTTGATTATCATTGTCCATATAGCGTCGCAGCTGCCCTCGCTGGATTAGAAATTTTATTTCCCTCTTCAATTAGATACAGTCATCGGTGTGATGACCATGGTCTTTGTGCAAGTCACAATACTTCGTAGAACCCCTTTTTGTCGGGTCTGTTTTCATCCGAGGTGGCCACCTTAAGAACTTCTCATTTTGCACCTCATACAGTATCTGAGACACTGTAGTAGTCAGGGGGTGAGCTGTCAGGGTGCATACCTTGGTTGTAGCTCTGGTTGTGGAGGGCCGAAGTGATCCCTAACATTTTCCCTTTTCTTCGGGAAACACTCTCTGTCTCTTCTTGGAGACCTGCCTCGTTCTCATTCCTTTCTGGGACTTCGTTCTCTCTCTTTTTCTTCCTTGCCTTTCTCCTTTCTCGACGAAGAGCTCCCAACCTTGGAGAGGAACGCTTCCTCACCATTTATGTACTTTTTTGCTTTGGCAAGCACCTCCGCCATACTAGCCTAGGGGTTCTTTGAGATGAAAAACATCAGGTCTTTTGACTGAACCCCCAAACTTGCTATGAAGGGTGTAATAGCAAAATTTTCATCTGGGACATCCACCTTCAAGGATTCTGAGTTGAACCGTTGGACATAAAACCGTAGGTTCTCATCAAGTCCCTGTTTCACATTTAACAAATGGTAGCTCGATTTTCTATAGGTCCGAGCTTTGATGAAGTGGGACACAAACGAGATTGACAGCTCTTTAAAAGAGGAAATCGAGGCTGGGGGAGTCTGTTGAACCATGCTAAGGCTGAGCCCTTCGAGATGATAACAAAGGCCTTTCATCTCACTGGATCTTGATATTCATACAACTCCATTTGATTTTTGTAGGTGTTGATGTGGTCCACAGGATCTTTTGTCCCATCGAAAGCATCCACCTACAACATTCTGAATTTATGTGGAAGAGGGAAATGCAGCACCCTAATAGTGAATGAGGATTCGGTTTGCTGCACCAAGACATTCATAGTGACTAGGGCCTTGCTCTTCACTGCCTCCTTCATCTAGCTGAGCTCTTGCTGGATATTTTTGAAACGTTGCTCCTAGTGGTGTTCTCTTCTCTCCTGTTGATAAGGGAAGAAGTCACTCCTCTTCCCTTTCTTATACTGACTTTGCAATTCCTCGTTGTGACCATTCCTAAGGGGTAGGCGAGGTTCTTGCCCCAAGGTCTGGCTATTCTCTCCCATCTCATTAACTTCTCTGAGGGGGTTGAGATGCGGTTACTCTCTTGGTGGTGGGTTATTCTGTCCTCCTTGGGCCGGCCGTGCCTCCTATGGGCGTTGTAGGAGCTTTAAGAGCTCTTCGTTCTGTTTTATCAAACGTTCACTGACAAGACGAAGGGCCTCCATCTCATTATTCATGGGAAGGCCCCGCATGGGGGGATCTACTTCTTGAGCATTTTTGGATGGTTTGTTATTTGTGACTTCCTGTTGATCTTGCATCCGTAGAGGATTGGTATGACTTCGATTTATGTTTCGCGTTGATACCATCAGTCACTGAAAAATCAGCTTTATTCATAACAGAAACAGTCGTTCCCACAGACGGCACCAAACTGATAGCGTATACCAACGTGGAAGAGCTTAAGGTGAAAGTAATGCGGGGTGAGCGTGGATCAGAGCAACGAGGCTCGTGTATGATGCTAACTGATAGAATATTCAGGGGATTGAAGGGGTGCACACAATAAAAATATAGTGATTCACTGGCTCAGGAGCTCGGCTAGTTCACTCTTCAATAGAGGTTCTTGCTCCTTCTATTTTATTCACGATGATTACAAAGCTGCTATGGCTTCCTATTGTCACTAGGGTCCTCTCCCTTTTTAGGAGGTGTTATATTGCATTTATAGTGTCATTCCCTACTAATTTGGATCCTGGCCGAGATTCTAGCCCTTACTTTGTGGGGTTCTTCCTAATTCTAGGAAGAAGATCTTGGTTGGTTGAGATTAGGTGCCTTGATTTTAGCTTCCTAACGCTTTAGGAACCTCTCGAGATTATCCAGTTGTTGCCTTGGTTGTTATTGCCCTTGCTTATCTCGAAGGAACCTCCAACTCTACTCTTTCGAGTTCTGTTTGTCTAGTCTGACCTCCTAGGCTGAGCTGACCTCCTGAGCTGGCATTTGACATTTATTTTGAGATATCATCAGATTGATATATTCCAACTTTACACAAGGCTGTGCATCGTATGGGATCAACACTAGTGTATATATTCAGTCGTAAACAATGCAAATTTCTGATGGTATTTTTGATTTTTTTGGATTGTGTGTATTTCTGAACTCCGCACCGCCTTCAATAACCGGAGTCCGAAACAGAGTTATAGTAGTTTAGAGTTAGAGTCAGAGGTTGGATGTGTGTAGGGGTGTCCATGGGCCGAGTTATCCATGAGTCCTGTTACCCTGCCCAAAAAAATAGGCCCGAAAGCCAATATGCCAGATAGTTGACCCAAGCTTGAGCTCAATATCCTTAAAAAAAGGCTTGAGTTTACCCCTAAACCCATTACCCAGCCCGAAGCCCGGTCTAAGAGCTTGCCCGTCATACCCAGCTCGTCCACATAGCCCGCCCACCCTTCTTTTGAAAAAAAAGTTATACTTTTAGACCATTAAATTTCAAACTTTAAAATAAGTCTCCCATTGTCAGAATTTAAAGTTTTAAAATTTTAAATATTATAAATAATGTATTATTTTCTTTTTCATATATTAAGCATGAAAGTTTTAAAGGGTAGAGTTATGCAAATGATAGATAAGTGAGTAGATGTCAACTTAATTAGGATGTATTCATTCTATTGGATGTAATTCATCTCCTAATCAAAATAAAATTATTCATTATTTTATTTTTATCCATTTTGACTTTATTTTTGATTCAAAAATACAATTTACATAAATATTAAGTTATAAAAAAATTCATTATTTTAAAATAAAGCTGTATATAAAAAAGTTCACAAGTAAACCCACCTAACAAGCCCTCCCACTGGCCCATTCAATAGGCTCGTTGGTTGGTTTGCAATTAGCCTACTCATACCCAAAGCCCGGCTCAACCCGTCCGATTACTCATTTGGATAAGGGTTTGAGCCTACACTATCAGGCCCGGCCCATGGACACCCTTAGATGTGTGCATTCCACATCCGACTCCGTCGGAGTGAGAGCCCAACCCTAATTGAAAGCAATGCTCAGACTCACAAACCCACGTAGACGGAAACCGGTGAAAGAAATTTCTAAGAAGGCTTCATTTTCAGAAACTGAATAAATGAAGTAGGAGAAAAAGTGGGACAAGGCATGACTAATATGAAGAGTGGTAAGTTAATAGTGTTCAAACTAATTCACATGAGAACCCCAAAGGGTTAGCTTAGTATAACTCAGTCACTTTATAAACTTCTCATGAGAGGTCGGTTAGGAATTTGAATATCCCATGAAACGTAGTCTTAACACGAGGTCCAACATTAATATAGTATGTGAACGGAAAAGTATTATGGTGATTTACTATGACAGTTGGAATATAAAAAAAAAAAAGTAATGATATATTAACTTAAAAATTAGACTTGATAATCTCAACCATTAAATAGGTAGTGGGTCTCAATAAATGTTGGGACTTACAGTAAAATAAATGGTTGAGATTATCAAGTCTAGTTTTTAAGTTCACGTACTCTTTATTTTTTTTGGAAATTATCTGCGAAACCAAAATGAGCCATGAATAACCATACCATAGTTATAAGCTCTCCGCCACTGCTCAGTCCTGCAGCATGAGCATGTACACTGCAATGACAGGCAGCATAAGACAGCAATTCCACCCAAACTTTGCTCATTATTTTCCATTTATTCTCTTTTAAGTTCTGCAATTTTTTGGCCCATTTGCACGCACTGAACAACGCAGAGTCGCTGTGACTTCCCTGGAGAGCAACAGGTCTTACTGCTGGTTGATGTCGGAGGATATATTCGCAGACCTCTTCCTGTTTTGGTTTCTGCTATTCAAGGATGATTAGAATGAGAGGAGCAAAAAATATATACAAAATAAAAGCAAAAAACAGAAATGAAAAAAAAAAAAATGTTTTCAAACATAGAAAAAGATATTTGAAAAAACTAAAAATGACAATTTGACAAGCATTTGCCTGTTTAAGGAGCCTCTTGGCATCGGCACATGTATCTTGGAATCTTATTTGCACAATTCCACCCACAGCAGAGATCATAGTAGGCCGCTTAGGTAGTACATACAGCATGTAATCTGAGAGGAGCTTGGAAACATCACGAAATGTGTTGTCCTCATGCTTGTCGTCACCACTATTATGGCAGAGTTCAGTGGCAATGTGCCACAAAAGAAGGCTCTCATCATAGTCGACCTCAAGGATCCGACGGAGTAATTCATTGCAATTTTCAACCCGAAGAACAGAATCACCTCTGAAGGAACAAATCATCTTGGCAGTTTCTAAATCTTCGGCCAGCTCAGATTTTGTGTGTAGCTCATTAAAGGTGTGGTCTCTTAAAAGATTATTGAATGGCTGGCTTGTCACATACGCCAATTCGTCAAGAAAGTTGCTAACCCCCCAGAAGCCTCCAAAGATCTCTGTCACTGGCTGGAGTGGATTAACACAACGGTCTATCAAGTTGTAAGTTGAAATAGACTCAGACCACCTGGGCCTGATGAGTCGCCGTGGCTTCATAAGCCAATCAATACAGGTTAGCACTGTGTTATAGGAATAGGAAGTTTCAAATAATTTATTGAGTGCAACAATAGAAGAAAAGCAAAATGATGAGAGCAATTGCATCTAAGGCAATGGCAACCAGGAGCAGGGCGTAAGTAATCTCAACATCAAACTGATTGTAAGTGCGCTTGTTTTAGGAATAGAAGAGATTAAGGGCGACGATCACTGAAGCAATGGAAATGAACCGGCGAACGTATCCTAATCTACTACGTACCACACTGACCTTGGTGTAGAGGACTTCATACATGAAACTGAGTTCAACCCCTACCACTTCAAAAGCATCTTCTACACTTCTTTTGAGGAAGAAATCTCGGCTTTGCATGCGCACACGGTTGGTCAATAAGAGACAAGCAAAGAGCCCCTTGAAAATTTCAAACCATCGGTAAGCCTGGAGAACCACCTCCAATTCTTTCCGTTCGGGTTCTCCTTCTTTTTTGACAGATTTGGTTTCTCTCGGTCTTTCTTCTTCAACTTGTTTCCACATTGGAAGGTTTTGACCTCTCATGTGGGTGTATTCTTTCATTAGCCTGAAATAGTTTGGCTCTGGGTCAGGCGCTGGAATCATGGAGCCTCGCAAGGAATTCATGCTTGCCTGATATAGTGACCACGTCCGCTCAACGTATTTGATGACTCCCGCTACAAACATGAGCGTTGTTGGGATCCATAGCTTGTTTTCGGGTAGCGATTGATAGAAGACATAGAATGCAGCCAGGCATTTCGCTACTAGCCCAAACAGATGCCTCGGCCACAGCTCATTATCCTCCAAAGCAAAAGCAGTAATAGTATCAGGGCCACCAAGGTGCAACAAAAGAAAAGGAGACCAAAATGCCAGAATGTCATCATTTTTATCAGCGGAATTACCACCGAAAAAGTGGCCTAATTGTTTGCTGGTTGTGAGTCCCAGTGCAAAGTTAGCAGCCCAATCTGCTAGCAAGTATGCCGACCAGGGCGGCATGATTATCCAAATGCTCGCCTTTCGCTTTCTCATGGGAGCAAACAAAATTAAAAAGGCTTCCAGTGAGAGGCTTAAGAGAATGAAGGTCCGAATGTCCCATCTCTCCCACAGCTTCTTCCAGTGTTCAGGAATTGGTAATTCCATACCCCCTCCTGCTCTCTTTGTCTTTTACGTTGATCTCCTTTTACCCTTGTGAAGCAAACACATTTCATTTATAACAAACACAAATAAATACAAACATCAAATCACTGCAATCATCCATCCAAAAACACACACACACACAGCATGGAGGGAGATTGACACACCGTTTATGACCTTGAATAATTTAATTCCACACTCGTTTGATTTTCGTATTGTTAAAAAAATGCATTGTATTAGATAATACAAGTTTATTCTGTATCAACGAATAGTACGAGTTAGACGTATTATTCATATGCATATTTAAAATAAGCTTATATATAATACAAAATATTTTTAACAATCAAATGTAGTATAAGATTGAATTAAAAAATTTTAAAGAGCAGTTGTTTAGCCAAAAGAATAGAAAAGAAAAGGAGAGTCGGTGTGGTCCAATAGTAACCGGACCACATTGTTGAGTCTCTGTCTCATCACTTATAGAGTGGTTCGTGTTAGTTTTATAATATAAAAAACAAAGAAGACTTATTGGTTGAGAAATATAAAAGTAAATTTAGGATGTGTTTGGAATGACTTATGAAATCTCAAAAGTATTTTTTTAATAAATATTTATCAAAAGTGTTTTATAAAAAATATACTAATCCACAATTAGGGGTGTTCAAATTTTCGACCGGCCTCACGTTCCTACTCTACCCGATCCTATCATACCTTACTAAATTGCTAGTCGCAAAAATCGGGTAGAAATGTGGAAGAGTTTTTGATCTTCTGACAATTTTCGGGTAGAAATGTGGAATAGTCATTCCTTTTCGCATTCCTACCATACCCTACCGGCAATAATTTTTTAAATATATATATATATATATATATATATATATATATATATATATATATATATATATATATATATAAAACTAAAAAAACCCTAAACCCTAACCATAGGCGGAATAATTATGATTTTAATGATTTTAATGTATTTCATAGGGTTTAAAATTTAAACTTAAATTAATTGTTATTGTATTTGTGTAACAATTATTGTGGATTGATGTTCATACTTTCTTGTGTTTTATTATAATTTTTGTTGTAGTTGTTTTAGATTTTAGTGTTAATTTATTTATTGTGTTGTTAAAATGGTACTTGTTATTTAATTAAATTGTTAAAATGATTCAAAAATTAATTGTTACAAAAATATTTACTCGACTTCCTACCATCGGGTAGGAATACCACACCTATCGGATAGGGTAGGCCAAGAAAAACTCTTCCGTAAAGTATCGAGTAGGAAGATGGAAGAACGTATTTCTCACCCGTAAAATAAGATGAACACCCCTGCCCACAATAAATCACAAACAAATAACTACAAAAGATGCCATAAAATTAGTTAAAATGAGGATGTTGTACCTCGTTTGAAAGGATTTGGTTAGATTAGCGATACAACAAAGAACGGTGAGAAAGAAGGTTGTTCTAGTGTCGTCGGTAGTCAACGAAAGAGAAGGCAAGTGTTGTCGTCGGTCAACAAGTGAAAGAACACCATGTCACCATCGACGGCGACGATAGTTTCCAAAGTGGAAGAAGCCGTTCGTTGACAGTCGAGGGTATGGACAATGGAGAGAGTTACGATGGTGAGGAAGAAAAAAGATTTAAAAAAAAAAAAGTGAATGGGCAGAACGCAAAAGTGATTTTGGGTAAGTAAAAATTTTATTTTTTAGCTTTGTTTTTTAGACTTATTTAAGTGGTAAAATGATTTTAATTTTTTTTAAATTACTTTTAATAAGTAATCTTAAACATTACTTTTTTTTTAAAGCACTTATAATAATTCAAAAGTCCAAAAAATATTTTTTTTAAGTTTATCCAAACGCACCCTTAATTTAGTAATATAACAGTGTCAAGGGATTAAGAAGAATAAGACTATGAAAAAAATATTGATCACCAAATTATGAAAGATGTCACATAAATTTGGAGAGGGGCGTAAACGCACCTAAACTTTTTATAGCCTCCTTTCATTGAGGTACAGTTAGCTATGAAAGTTCCAAGATACAATTTCAAACTCGCAACCAATCCCTATAACAGGTACGTCCGGCCGGGATAATGTATCAAATCTCATTGTCCGAAATATCGAGAAATCACAATAAAATACATTATAATGATAATACAAAAATAACATAGATGTACGCCATAGGAGAGAGGAATGAGAGTATATACAAGTATGAGATAGATGAGCAACATACCAGGTAGATTAGTACATACTATACTTGCTTATATTTGATATGAGGTGACTCATTTAAGTTCCTAGTGTAAGGACACTGAAACATGCGTGTGGGTGCTTTTGTTAGAGAATGAGTACATTGACCGTGAACATTAATTAATATATGATTTTTCATATAGAGTTTTATATACTTGTTAATGTTAAATCATAAGTTACACTTATGCAACCGATTCTAGACGAGACATCATGGTTGGCGTGTGCATGAACTTTTATTTTTTAACTGTAGAACATATTCATATAATAATCATGTAAGTTGAATATGCACTGTTAGACATTGTTAGATATGTATAGAGACTTATGAGAATCTCCCACGTGATCTTCTAACATAGATTCGTGGAGTCCTTGCTTAAGATAGAATGATAATTAGAAAATAGTTTTTAATTGATAATTAAGAGTCATAGTTCAAGTTACATTAAATTATTATAATATATTTTTTAACTCCTACAAATCACAAGTATAGAATTTAATATAACAAGGGAAAGTTATATTTTGACACCTTCAACTATAATCTTTTTTATATTGCTCTCTCAACTACTATGTTATTCATAATGCACTTTCAACTATGTGACTAGCTTTATATCACTTCAACAATTAACATCCGTTACAAATTTGGCAAAAACTTATTTCATTTTGCCCCCCAAATATGTTCACTTTTTTCAACGCGTTGGTAATTTTCATCTAAAAATATGGCAGACATTTGCATTTGGGACAATACTGAAAGTAGTTAAGGGGACAAATCTAGTGTAAGGGCAAAGTAAAAGTGAGTCATAGTTAAGGGATTAAAGTATAATTTTCCCACATAACAATGGATGAAGTTGGAAAGTTACGTCTTTTTGAGTCCATAGGCTCCCTTGACCACCTATACTAATATTTCTACACACCCACAAGCTTCACATTCCACAATTACTTTGATATCTAATCTAATAGAATTACGTTCAAATATTTGGACTTGTTTTGATAGGATATAAAACAAGTTATTTGATGTAAAATAGATTGCAAGGCTAAACATGAGTTTTGTGGTAAATCACTCGGCGGTGCCTTGAATGGAAGCACTATAATTTTATTTTCTTTTTTTAAGGTAATAATATAAAATGGAAGCATTATTAATTCAAAACATGACTCTCATGAAAGTTGTAAACAAAAAAAAAATGATATTGTTTACACCAAAATACTTAAAAATCTGAGAAGAACACATGACAAGATCCAACGACCATAATTGAGCCAAAGGAGGTCCAAGGGGTTAAGACCATTATGAGAAAAGATCTCCAAGGATCTCAAAAAATGAAGAGGCGTGTAAGATGTGATGTCAAGGAGCCATTAGTTATAAACGATTTGACGCACGTTCACAACTGTTGGAGAGAGAGGCCACAAGTATGACTTAGTAGCTGGAAAAGATGGCTCCAATAATTAGAAGTCACCGCTTATAAATACAGAGATATATGCAACAAAGAACAGGATCCATGATCAACGTCCCCACAAACAGCAAACTAGAGCCCTTCTCTGTTCTGTTTAGTTTATGCCATTTTATCTTACTTAGTAATTTTGTCATCACTCCAATTACTTCTTTCAATTTTATTTTAAACACAATAATTTATACAACAATTTTGTCTTAATATATACATTAGTGTTTGCTCTAATTCTAGTTCGTTATTACTTTTCAGTTTGTTAGCTTACTCTAAAGGGAATAGTTTAAGTCATTGATCTCCAAGACAAAAAAATCTAAAGGTAGCCTTACGCTTTGTTTCAATTGCCTACATAGTCATGATTTTGGAACATCACACCGGTTCGAATAGGTAAGATTGTATTATTTGGAATTCTTAAATCCATTCAGAATTTTACACGTCCACAATCCAAAGTATGCCCAAACATATTTTTTGGCATGCCCAATGGGACCCATCGCAGGAGCATGGCACAAAAAAAGGGGAAAACCAAGTCTAGCTTAGCAGATGTGCCTCCAGGGTACGAGATAGTTGAAGAAGGCAAGTTTGGTGTTCTCAACCTACAAGAGGAGTTGCCTCCACTCAGGGGGCAAGAAAATCAAGAAGCTGACTTAGAGCAGGAGGCTTCGAATAGGGCACTTTTCCAAGAGTTATCCTAGTAAGTGTTGAAATTCATCAATGGCCTGGGAGATTTGATAAAAGAAGAATCTGGCTGCACCAAATATGCACTGGAACGATTATTTAAGACACTGAATATCTAGGGGGTCGCAAGGCAGCAACTGCTACCCCCAGTGGAGGCACCACAACTAGTGCATCCTTCATATTTGCTATCGCCAAGGGTGCAAAAGGCAAGAAATGGCCCGTGGAGAAACAACATTCCTTTAGTCCAACAGGATGTGCCACCTATTCCTGAAATGGGGGGCAGTGGAAACAACTGTCAATCATTGTTCCAATAGCACCACAAATGATCGTGAGCAAAGATCAACTGGATGAAATCACCCAAGAGCACGTCAGCCCCGCCATGAGGTGAGTTGCTAGGTCGACATACCGAATACCCTAACTGGTTAGATAGAGAGCATGAATATCCACATGGCTACAAAGTTTCTATTTTCGCCATGTTCTCAAGAGAAGACAATCAATTAACCATTGAAAATATAGAATGCTTCACTGTGCAATATGGTGAAGCAGGAGGAAATGAGTTCCTGAAGTTAAGACTATTTGCAGATGCCTTTACTGGAATCGCATTCTAATGGTACATCAATTTGCCACCTAACTCAGTGTTAAGTTGACAACGGTTGGAAGACAACACACACAATTTTATCGAATAGGGAAGTAGTAATTGACGACTTGGCCAAGTTGTACCAGATGACTGGTGAAATGTTGAGCAGTATATTGCCCATTTTAAGAAGGCTAGGAATAAGTGTAGGTTAACCTTTGTGGATATGGAGTATGTGCCAATCGCACAAAACTAGCTAGGTTTTGAACTTCGGAAGAAGTTCAAAGGCATGGAGTTTAGTGATTTGTTTGAGCTAGTAGCTTAGACAACTCGTTATGAGTAGATCCATTGGGAAGAGCAAGCCCACTAGAACACCTCCAAGGAGACTTACTACAGGGACCCCAACACAAAAGTGCTGATGGTCGAACTAAATCAGGGTATGGAGGTGAATGTAGTGGAGATTGTGGCCAAACAACCTTATGTGCGCAAGACACTTACTAGGATGTTAGAAAATTAAGGCAAATCGCAAACTCTGGCTAGCGTCAAAAAATGAGTTAGTGATATCATCAATTTGTTGGATGAGTAGATTTCATTAATTTTTTTAGTGGAATCCACTCATCTCACACTTATCCAATGAAAGATATTCATTTGGGTTTTAATTTTTGAGTTTCATTTGGATTATGTAGCATTTTTCATCAATTATAGAGTGATCCCCTATTTATTGGAGTTGGCTACTGTAATGCCAAAGGGCTTTTCGGTACCATACTGAAATTTATTATATTTGTTGTAATTTTTATCATATTTGTGAATATTTTTACCATTATTGTGGTAGCCAAAAAAATTGATAAAAATAACTACCACAATCCACTAAAGTGATAAATTAACTATAAAAGTGAAAAAAAAAAATTAGATGTAATCTAACACCCAAAAATTATAAAAATACTATTTAAAACAATAAATTTTGAAAGTATGATATCAAATTTTTTTAGCGTATCATAGTCAAATCCGTATTTATCAAGTTACATAACTACTTCTTCTGTTCCTAAACATCTGTCATTTTACACAATTTTTTTTGTTTCATAATATCTGTCGTTTTATGAAACTAAAACATAATTAATATTTTTTCTTCCAAATTTACTCTTATCTTTGTTTTCAAATAAATGTTTAATAGATTAAATGTAGGTTAAGTGTCTTTCACACTTTTTTTCTTACCAATACGTATTAAATAAGGGTATTTTAGTCTTGTATAATTATTTTTTACTCATATTAGAGCTATTTAATAACTTTCTTAATTCTTATACAAAAATTTTAAACGACAGATATTTAAGAAAAACGGATGGAGTAATTAACTATCGGTACAGTTGTTATTCCAACAGAATTGCAACAAACTCAAGCAGTTACACATGAGGGTGTTGGAGTGATCTGGACCAACTCTCTTTGAGTTGAGATATCAAATTATGACAGAGGCTGCTCGATATTTGAGGCCTAAAACAAGACATATTAATAAGGTCCTTTTATTTTTAAAAAAAAAAAATTAATTTGTTTTTGTTTTTTAAGATAAAAATTTTGTATGACGTTTTTGAATCAAGTTTTGCTAGCATATATTTTTTAATTGGTGGTATGACTAATTGGCTCAATCTCTCTTATACATGGTCGATTTTATGTAGATTTTTATTAATTTTAATTTTGAAAAATTTAGTTCATTTTTTAAATGAGATTTAAGCTTTTAAATTACATTGAAATTATAATATTATTAAACTCAAGGTGGGTTATGTTATCTTGTCATTGATATCCTTATTTTTTTTATACAAATTATCCAGTATTCTTAAATTATAATTTGGTTGTTTTTTAAGTTTAAGATAAAAAGGTGTGAGAGAGAATTAAACCTTTTTTTTTGTTGTGTCAGAAGAGAGAATTAAACCTTCAGAGAGAGGAATTAATGTTAAATATGTTTAACACGCTCTTTTTTTTGTTAAGCATGTCACTGTTTGATGTCATTGTATTACGTGTGTGTGTGTGTGTGTGTGTATATATATATATATGAAATTTTAAAATTCAAATGATACACAAATATCAAAAAGAATTTTGAAAGTCTCACATTCAAGTAAGTATGCACTATTTATGATAGGTGTAATTACGGAATCCATTTTAGAAAAAATTTAAAAATGTTTTAAAATGCATGCTTATTGACAATTATTTGATGAAAAAGATGACTTAAAGGAGGATAAGTTTGAAAATGGTACTTAAAACCAAATAAGTTTTAGAAAAGATACTCACATCCTATTATTTACATTTCTTTGTTAGTTTAAGTATTTATGGACTTTTTTTTAGGCTTATTTATATGGGTTGAAGTTTAAGAACTGCATAAAAGTAGAGACTAATAAACTTTGAGACCTCCCATGTGAGTGAGGCCTAAAGCCCCAGCTTCAATTGGTATACCATAGGGCCGGCCCTGATGATGAATAAGAGCTTTGAGTTTGGTGTGGGATAAGAATTAATAATTTTTTTAATTTTTTAATTTTTATTTATGATTATTTTGTCTTAATTTTAGGTATAATTTATATTTTGATTAAGTTTTATACTTTTTCTGTGTTGTGTTGTGTCAATGTTATTATACCCCTTCAAACAAATGGGAGGAAAGACTCTTCGTGAACATGTCTGCGATAAGTAGAAGAAATAAAAAAAAATTCAAATTTTTGTAAACGACCTTCTCTAACATAATGATAATCGATTTCAATATGTTAAAGTTTTGACATGAAAAAGGAGCTTGAGGAAGGTCAACATGGAGGTCATGTAAAAGCATGCGAAGCCAATATTGTATTTGCTATGACTGCCAAAGCTCTGTAATTTGCTTGGTGGAGGACCTGGCCACAGTTGGTTGTTTTTTGGGCAGCCCAGTGAATTGGATTAGAGCCCTAAGAAGAGCACAAAACCAACAGTGAGACCTTCTGTCCAAAGGGTCTCCTGGCCATCAACATCAGTGTGACAACATCTCAGCAACTGTGGCCATCGATTTTTTTTTTTTTTTACCGTAAATGGATACGGAGATAGTCTACTTTACATATCTGCCGGAAAATATTTCTCTTCAGCACTACATAGTTATTTGTAAGGGACCTCACCACACTATGTCAGGGTCGTAACTAACGTCTCACCACGTTCTCTAGGCGTTGAAAAGTAGGTTTAGTTTTAATGAGCTGTCGTAATTATGGAGACTCGAACTCAAGCATTATGTGAGAAAATTCGAGTTCTTACCCATTGGACCAATAGTTCGTCGACCAAAAATGGGGCGGTTTTTATTTTGCTCCAATGGCGACAACATACCAGTGTTTTTGTAAATTCTTTCTTACCATTTTATATGGATTTTGAGATTTTTGGCTGATTTGGCGATATAAAAGACCGGGTAATTTTATCGTATTGAATTTTTTTTGGAATTAGAAAAAAAAAAATTAGTTACTATTTTTTTAAGGTATAAGTTACACCTACTAAAAATAAAGTTATAATTAATTAAAGGATATTAATGATTGATCGTAATATGTAACTTTAACTTTAAAAGTTATAACTTCTATCATCAATCATGATATTTTAGGATCGATCATTTTTTTTCAGTTATAAATTTTAATACGATACTGATTTTGGTACGGTAGTCAATAAAAACAATAATGTACGAGCATTCCCATGAAAAAAAAAAAAAAAAAAAAGGTTATGAGCATTATTTAGTTTGGAAAAAAATGACAATTATTTATTGTGATAATTGATTGACAAATAAGACGTCTAACTAAATATTAATTGTCGTGACTTCATAGTTGTTAGAGTTTCCTTTGGAAAGAGACCCGATCCCAAATCTCAATTTTTTTCTTGCTATATCTTTACAAGTTGATTTCTTTTTCTTCATCTTCCAAAATGTGATTAGTACAATATTCATCGCACCGACCAAATGTTAAATGTGTTTCGACATTTTGTTTAAACGTATATTCTTGGAATTTGTTCAAAAATCCATTTTTTTCAAAATAAGGATAAGTTTGTCACCCACTTATTTTTTCTACTAATTGTAGACACGAGCCTTTGGTACAAGATACGATTTTAATTTCTCTAAAGAGCCATGCACCATCACATTGCCAGAACCCTAAGCTAGACTTCGACCCAATCCAAGGCCGAAAAGAAAAATCAAATAAAAAACAAAAATTTATGGATTATGGTCTTTTTTTTATTTTTTTAATAAGCTATTTTTGAGTTCAATTTAACTCATTGCTTTTGTTTCTTTTCTTTTTTTTTTTCATCGAATCTCTCAACACTTCACTCCAGGTAGGAAGGACTATCTACGAGTCATATCAATTCATTTCGTGTTTAAATTGTGTTAATATCAAGATTTTTTCAATCTTCATAAGACCATTTTGTAATAGTGTATGATTGAGTCCATTTTTTATTGGGGTTGGCATCGACACATTTATTTGATGTCTCGTTTATCCACATGTTAATCACTCAAACTTGCCCACGAGTTTTCCTTGCTCCTGCTTTTTCTGACAAGTCACAACATGGTTGCTCAAACATTTTTATTAAAAAAAAATATTTGATATGAAATTTGACCAGAGCAGAGAGGATTAATCGATATATGCACAAACTGGACCGAACACTCTTGACTGTTAAATAAAAAAAAAATATTTTTCCAATATTCAAACACGAGGGGGGCAGCCAACCATGAACCAACATAGCTAAACCTATGAACAAAATTCCAACTTTCTTACCAATCAACCCTATTTTTCAAAGAGTACACACTACACATTCGTGTCAAGTGGATACCGTCTTTTCCTCTCACGTCTCTCTTTCACTTTCAACCTCATTTATAAGCCAAATTTTCACACTATTGTTTGTGGAACTGCCAAACTTTTCTTCATCTTCCTCCCATAAACTCAATCACAAGAAGTCAGAAAAGTAACCCAAAAAAAGGATCTAACATGAGCCACGACGAGAAAATCGCTTATGATTTTGTTATGGTTTCTCTCTCAATCTCAATCATCATTCTTGTTGTCCTCCTATTCATCATCTGCAAGAAGAAGAAGCCGGTAAAGTCCACAGAAAGCCTTCCAACCAAACTTTGTGCATGCCCTTATACTCTGATGGACATACACGCCGCCACAGACGGCTTTAACCACCGGAGAGTCATCGGAAAAGGCCGGCTCGGAATGACATATGCAGGTGTTTTGTCAAGAGGGGAAATAGTTGTAGTTAAGAGGATTCATCCCCATCTTGTTCTGAGAAATGCTGGTTTCGGGTTCTCCTCAATTCTCAAATGGCTCTCCCTTGCATACCACCCTCATGTGGTTCCAATTTTCGGGTTCTCCGAGGCTCCAGGAGAGAGAATCATTGTGATGGAATTTGTTGGTATGATGAGCTTAGAATTCTATTTGCATCAGAATCCTGACAGCGCGATTCTTTTGGATTGGGGTCGAAGGGTTAAGATTGCAGCTGGAGTGGCGCGAGGACTCGAGTACTTGCATGAAGTCATGGCACCACATATAGTACATGGTTGCATAAAGCCCTCAAATATACTGCTAGATGTGAAGTTTTCTGCTAGGGTTTGTGATTATGGACTTTCATTTTTAGCACCACATGAGAAGCAAGGCCTTGTAGGGTATGTTGATGAGGAGTATTGGGTTGGGAAAAGAGGGGCTTCAAAGGAGACTGATGTGTATGGAGTTGGTGTGGTTTTGTTGGAGCTTTTGAGTGGTAGGAGAAGTGAGGAAGGGTTGATAGTTAAGTGGGCCCTACCTTTGATTAAAGAGATGAAGATTGGAGAGCTTTTGGACTCTAGGATTGTAATACCATCTGATATGAAGCCTCTTGTTAGATTAGCTAAAGTTGCTTTAGCTTGTGTTGGGAATTCTAGAAAGAATAGGCCTTCAATTGTTCAAGTGGCTACTATTTTGAACAATCTAGAGATGGAGCCATGCTAGCTTTTGAGTGATAGTTTCTCAAAATTGGGGGCAATGGGTCAAGGGGCAGCAGATTTGAGTTCTCTCTGTTATATTTTCACTCATCCATTGACGAGAGATTCGTTTGTAGAGAATGGGTCCCAATTGAATTTGAGGTGAGTGATTTACCATTGAAAAAAATTGAAGAATAATAAAATGGAGAGGATTTGAATCCAGATAGCTCGGTTGATCAATTGGGTCTCCCTTGCAAGTGAGACATAGGTGTTGTTTAAAATACTTAAGCCTCCTCCATTTTTTCTTTTCATTTGTGTAAATTACCCACTGTATATTAATAGAGGACACACGTATACGTAGGGGTCTTGTATAAATTCGCTGTGAATGATTTATGGTTGAGAAAACTTGAGAGAAAGTGTAATTGAAGGAATTGAATATGACTTTGAATAGATGATGAAACATAAAGAAATTCCAAAGTTTTTTTTTAATGAGCTTCCACTTTGATCTTGTGCTGTGAGATTGTAAATACTCATCTCATGGAGACAAATCAACCAAGTGTATGGTAGCTGGAAATTTCCCATGAATGTTGAAATGGAAAGGTTGGCCGGTGGTTTGTCCTTGGGGCGGTGATTTTTATTTTGTTCATATGGAATGGAGAATCTCTTGATGGTGAGAGGGACTCCCTTTCATGAATTTGTTTATTGTGTATAATGTAATCTATTTGCTTTCGGCTTTCACAGCCCAATAAATTGATTAAACAGATTCTGTGTGTAACTTCGTCAATTTGCATTTGCACAAATTTTTCGTTTTTGTTAGGAGTCGTAAGTCTAAAATTTACAGCTATAACATAATTCACGCGCACTTCGTCATCTGACTATTGAAACTACATAAGATTCACCAAAAAAGAGAGCCCACATGGGCTGCAGTAGATTCCTATAGCTTAGTTTTACGTTTTTAAGTCAAGTTTGTATTGAACTTGTATACGAGCTCGGATTTTAATAGAGATGTGGAACTAGACAACCAAAACGTCATCATTTCGATGTAATTGCAGACAATTTTTGTTACATTATCAGACTTCCAATTCAGACTACCTAGTTATGACAGCTTTTAGTTGTCTTTATTATGGGACATGATCTATGGTCATGAAGATCAAGCACTAGCACTAAATTACTAACTACATGCAGATACGGGACTATGAGGAGGCCTACGGGACCCCCCTGTCAAATTTTAAAAATTCTTATTATACCCTTATATTTTTAAAAATTTTATTGTTAAACTCTAACTTTTTAAAACATCCAATGTGTGAATACCTACTATATTCAAAAAGGTCAATAACTTAATATTTAGTAACTATTTAAGATGTAACCACATGAATGAGTGTCGCTTATACTTATGAAAATATTTGTTGGATTATTTTGATTATAAAAAAAAATAGAGATACAAATATGGTTTATATCAAAAACAGTTGGTTGACTTATAATTCATTTTTATTATGGTATCATATGAAACTATTATTTGCAACCTTGATTTATTTATAGCCATAAGGTTACATTATAAACAAGAAGAAAAAAAAAAAGGAGATAATCAAAATAAATTTTTATGATGGCATGAACCACTTTTGAGTTTTGTGCTCAGAAATAATTTTTTTAATGTCATTGCATAAAAATTATATTTAATAGCTTTTTTATAAATAAAAATTTATTATTGACAATAACCGTTGAATAAGTCTATTGAATTAAATTTTTCTCTATATCATTGTTGGCCCCTTTAAAATAAAATCCTAATTTCGTCCCTAATTACATGATGACTTTTGAAAAGTGTAAAGCTAACCCAGTAGACACACCCAACTGGAGGGTTGGTGGAGTTAAAAATTGAATAAAAAAGAAAGAAAGAAAGAACGAAAAGAATGGCTGGTGGGATTTTTCCATATTCAGAGTTTTTCTTCTTTGCTAGGTGAGAATAAACAGACAAGTGGAAAGGAACAAACGTTGGTCCCGGAAAAGTGAGACTTGGAAAAGAACCATACAAGAAATTGATAGCCGATTGATTGTGAATGTGATTATCCATAGATCATTTAGGACTGAGATAGTTACAAACCTCTACAATCGAGTGACAGTTCGAAAGTTTGACTCTCGTCCCCGTCCCCGTCCCCAGTGATGTAAAAATATCGTTACCTATCAAAAATAGATTCATTCAGATTTATTGGGTTAGCCACAACTTTATTAATGTATTGATATGTTCGAGGGGTTGGTAATGCAATAGAGTCATCTTAACATGTCACATTCTAAGTTTGAGATTATGATTCTCTTTAGGGTTAATTATAAGATGCACTCTGAAAGATAGTTAGAATTTTAACTTGCATCCTCAAATATCAAAAATATAAATGTACACCCTAAAAATAGAAATTTGAATCAATATGCACCCCCAAAGATAAAAATCTCAATTTTTACCCTCAAAAATAAAAATTTATATCAATGTGCACCTAAAACTAAATTGATAAATTATACCTAGATTCTCTCATATTTGTCATTTAATCATTTGGACCCCTTCACATTTAGAATATTACTCCTACATCTCATAACGTTTGTGCTCGTGTAACACGTAACCCATTTCATTGATATTTGTTAATATAACCGTTAAAAAATATAATTTTATTCTAATAAAAAATTATAATGTCTAATGGTAAACTTGATTTTGAACTTTAGAGTATATCGAATCCACAAAATAAAGGGTAATATGAAATTATAATTTTTTATTAGGATAAAATCATATTTTTTAAAGGTTATATTAACAGATATCAATGAAAAATGATTACATGTTACACGTGCACAAACGTCATGAGATGTAGGAATAATATTCTAAATGTGAAGGGGTCCAAATGATTAAATGACAAGCATGAGAGGATTTATGTATAATTTATCAATTTAGTTTTAGGTGCACATTAATACAAATTTTTATTTTTGAGGGTGCAAATTAAGATTTTTATCTTTAGGGGTCCACATTAATACAAATTTTTATCTTTGAGCATGTAAATTGAGATTTTTGATCTTTGGGGGTATAAATTGAGATTCTCATTATCTTTCGGGGTACAACTTACAATTAATCCTTCTCTTTAATACATTTTTTTCTATATTTTTATTTGGTGGATCACCTAATGTGAATTCAAGTGTGATCAATTTATATAAGTGGGTGTCTAACTCATTAATTATAAATGATTTGTCAAAAAAAATATTGTTGTGGTTTTAGATACCTAGACTGGGTTAACAATCGAACCGAGTTTTTGTGAGTTTGAGTCAAGTCCGTCGAGCTCGTTTTTTCTAAACAAACCTAGAAAATTGTTGAAACTCGGCTCATTTAAAAAATAAGTTAAGTTCAAGTCCGAGTAGTTCGACTATTTTACATATAAATAAGTTGAGTTTTACGAGTTCGAGACTAATTTTTTAAACAAATTTAAAAAATTATTCAAACTCAATTCATTTAAAACACGATCTAAACTCGAGTTAAGTTGTATTTGAACCGAATCAGTTTAACTCAATTATCGCCCCTATCGCTACGTTTTACATTTAGGCTTGGTTGTTGGATTGTTGACCAATTGGAGAGTCAGGTTAAGTCTAAAGGCCCCTACCCACTGGGCTACCCCAAGTGAACACCTAACTAGTCTGGCAGGCCTCGTGGCTCCAGTCAAAATTAAATGTATAAACATCTATTTACATAAGAAATAAAATTTTAAATTGGGATATAAAAACTTGCAATTGTGATTGAAAATAGCATCTCTTGTATTGATTGAAATACGATTATATGATAAAAGAGGATATAATTTGAAAGGTTTTGCAGTAGAATTTGATTTCCATCGTAGATAAAATGCGTGGAGACCCAATTTAATTGTCATTTGTAAAAAACATAAAATTTCTCTGAAGAATACTACTTACTACAGGTTGGAGTAAAAGCAGAGAGAGTCATTTTTACAAACAATTTTTCACGAGAAAGTTATTCCTTGAGTTGAGATACTAATGCTTAGATTAAATGGTTACTAAGATAATACATCCTGTCCGGTACAATTCAACCCTACTTATATGGTGTCAATTGTTTTTATTGACCACGTTGGGCACAATTGCCCAATGACTAGTCTCCATTAATAGTTTTAGCCCAAGAGCTATGATTTTATCCCATTAGCGAAGTATCACATGTCATCACATTATTCTGGACAATTTACGTTGGTCGTTGCCTTTTGCCCAACTACTGGAAAAATATTCATCATTTTTTTTGTCAGCCAAGCTTTACAGCTACGGGACTTCTTAAAGAAAGTTGCAATCGCAATTTATCGAAAACTTATAAAACCACCAAAATCTTCGATTGGACTCTCAAAGGTAATCCAACATATGGTCATTAAGGACTTTGGCACAACCTTAGATCCAATATCTCCAAATTTTAAAGATAAGGATCATTGTCTAGTTTGGTACCCATTAAGCGATAATGGAGGGAAAACACTTGTAGTTACCAACGTTGATAGCCCAAAGGGGAAAATACTTTTATTTTCCCTTGTATTTTCTTCTTGATTTTAGGGTGACACCAAATACGGAAAGGAAAAAAACTAAAAGTTTTCTCTTCTTTTCTGATGTGAGCTTAAAAAGTCAAAATCTAAATATCCGTATTAGCGTTATTGGCGGAAGATGTAGATAATTTCCCTTTCTCTTAGGCCATGAAGTGCAAGGTTTCCAAGACAAAAGCTTCAGCTTCACCCCCATATTCTAATCCCAAATTAGACTTTCATCCCCTTATTTTTGTTCTCAATCTCACTTTATTCTTCAGTTATTCGAATTAGTTTCACATCGCCCGAACCCAAAAGTCTTTTATGTTTTGAACAAAAAATGTCCACAAATGTATTAAAATACACATTTCCAAAGTATGCTATTAGAGAACTGTGAAGCCATTAACTTTAATTGGGGGTGTAATATAAAAAAAAAGTGTAATAGTTTAGAGTTGTGAAACCAATAATCATAATTAAAAATGAAATGCCAAAAACGTCAAAATTGAGAAGTATCAAGGATCAAAATATAATTTTTTATAATGATAGTTAGGGCTGTTAATTAAACTGAGTTACTCGAATTTGGCTTAACTTCGGCTCGGATTTGACTCTTTCAGGCTCAAATCGTTTTTTAAACAAGCCCGAACTTGAATAAGTTGTTAGGCTCGTTTAGAAAACAAGTCATATAAGCTTGACTCAAAATCGACAGACTCGACTCGTTTATGTGTAAATACTCAGGCCGAACTTAAATAATTTTTGGAAGCTCGATTAAGAAATAAATTTTTCAAACTCAACTCGAATTCGGCTCGGGCTCGTTCGAGTAACTGCCCGGTCACCAACACATACTTTATTGGAAGCTCAAATAATTTCCACAACCAGTCTGCACCAAGTCTTCAATTAGAGAAAGAAAATCCCAAAAACAAGGGTAAAGCTATGGTACCTCCACAGTATCATACCGAAAAATGATCTATATCGTTGATTTTGAATTGGACATTCATAACTATTGATTAAATAAATAAAAAAACAAAAAAAAATAAATCCGCAATATATTTTTATTAGCCAAAAAATAAAGATAGAATATAAAAAATTTTATATATCGGTACCGTAAGGCTCCTCCAAAACCAGACATTTGACAGTTAAGTGAAATTGATGAGAAATGAGACATTGAGACCCCATTTTCCCGAAAGAAAAAAACAGCTTTGACATTATCCTTTGAAACCCTCGTCCATACGTTAAAGCAAAACTCAGTAAAGGCTTCCCCGCTAAGTTTTCTCTGTTGCGTGGCTTCTCTGGGACGCTCAACCCATTGAATGGATAGCCAATAAATAAATATCCCCAACATGTGGGCTACACAACTTAATTATATTAAATTTGGGAAGGAATCGTCTGCTATCATCTCTTCCGTGATGCGTTGCAATCGTCCGCGCGACTCAATGAAACCTAAACAAATAGTTTATCAGAAGAAAAATATTAAATAGTGTCAAAGAAATTGACTTTATCAATCAATACCAAAGGCGGAGCCTGTAAAAAATTTTAGGTAGGCACACTAATATCTTTTATTTTTTAATTTTAATAGATTGTAAAGTTCATAAATTTATATTTATTGAAATTATATTTAATACTTTTTAAACATAGAAAATTAAAAATCGATACACATAACATGAACAAAAAAATAATAATAATTAAAACTTCTTACCGAGAATGCGACTAATTATTATCACTTACAATTGACCTTAATACATTTTTATTATTTGAAAGAGTTACAAATTAATTTTATCAATAATATTTCTTTTATATATAAAATCGCGGTAACAATTTTCAATTTATGATCTTATAACTTATTATATAACAACATACATTTTTATAATGAAATAATCCTACAATTTTAAAAAACTATAAAATAATATCAATATTTCAAAAACATATTCGGACATGTCTAAAACGTGTCTAAAAAGTTAAAAATAATATTAGTTGCACCTAATTTAAGATTTAATTGATGAAAATCCAATGGTTTGTGATCATTGAATATATAGTAGAGTTTATTAAATATTAAAACTCACTATTATACTTAATATCGCAATATACTAGGTCTTTAAATTAGGTTTCAATAACATTATTTAAATTGATATTAAGTATAACCAGAACATAATATTAGGGTGGGCACAATTAAATGTGTTTAAATTTTATTTCAAAAAATACATACCTAATATCAAGCAAAAAAAAAAATTGGGGGGAGGGGGGCATGTGCCCATCCTATCCTAAGGGTGGCTGCGCCCCTAATCAATACTATTGAATAAGTAATGAGCCTCAGTTAAATTAATGACAAAAATAATAGTTCCTATTAATACTATTAAATAAGTAATGAGTTTCAATTAAATCAATCACAAATATAATAACTCTATTATTAAGTCAAAATTTTAAATCTAGCTCTTACTAGAATTCTTACACTAATAAATCATTCATACATATGTTTTACTATAAGAAGTTTATAATAATGGCCGCTTAGTGCACGAAATTGTTATTGTTGTAGAGGTTGTGAAGAGTAAGGTGCAGACAATTTTTTCAGGAAGAAACTATTTTTTTGACTTAAATCCTTGATGTCCATGGGACAATGTAAAAACTTTGCAATTGATTATAATGTTTTTACAGTCATACTAAAATGTTTTTCTTTTTCTGTCTTTGCTAATTGACGTTAGGATCTCTTGGGCACCCATCTCCAAGGCACCAACCTTAGAACTGGTATAAGACGTCAACTCATGATCAATTTTTTTGTCAAAAGTACATACAAACGGTTTTGGTTTTGAAACTATGTTTTTCAGCATAAAATATAGGTTCGCAGTATGTATCAATTATATAATATTGACATAAATACAGCTGTGTGTGTGTGTGTGTGAGAGAGAGAGAGAGAGAGAGAGAGAGATTGCTTCAAATAAGAAGTCTAGGTGAAGAAATGGATTGGTAGAAAAATACAGGTTGGTGTAATTCAGGGTTTGTTACTTTCATTTCTGTTGGTACGTATATATACTTGTAAGTTTACACATATATATAGCTTTAAGGACACTCTAGGTTGACACTAGAGCTAAAGCCCCCTACCCCTCTCTCTCTCTCACCATAGATGAAGAGGTGAAACGTCTGAAAAGAATCAGTGTTGCCCCATCTCCACTCTACCCTTCAGTTTTTGTTTTTTTACATCAGTTTTGTTAATTCTAATTGACATTAACTTAAATGGTTCAACCGTGTAGAGTTGACAATAAAATTAATCATAAACTTGAACGTTTTGGTTTCAATTCTTTCTTATCACAACCAAGTTCAACTAATATCTATAATTATCGAGCGATTATAAATATTTAGAGTTTATTGTACAAATATGTATCAAAGGTTTGGTGAGGTTACTTGTTAAAGAAAATTAAAATTGATTAACATTCTTTCACCCGTTCTTAAATAGAATCAGAGAGAGGTCTTTTGGTCATAGGAAATTAAAGAGCTTCCAATGGAAAACTGCATTTATTCTGGTACATGTGTATATACACATAAACAAACCCAAGCTTGACGTCCAAGCAATCTGATTATTTTTCTAGAAAAATCCATTCTCTTGTCCTTTCACAGAATATAAGCAAGAATATTATCCCCTTCTTTCTCTCTCTCTCTCTCTAGTCTTCAAGGACTTAACAGGAGCAACTAGCAAGACACAGTTCAATCATAGAAAAGAGAGAACACAAAGTGGAGAATTCAATTCCTTCCCAACATCAAGGACCAAGGAGATCAAAAATCTGGTTAACTAAAACGTGCTTTAAAAGAGAGAACTTGCTTTTTCTTTTTTCTTTTTTCATTTAACCCTCTTTTTCTCTTTCTTATCTTATATATCACTCTGTACCTATCTGCAGTTGAAATTTTTGCCAGTTTGGTGTGGTGGAGGAAAGGGAAGCAAGAAATCCAACTGGGTATGGGCATAAAACCAATACAAGAGAGATGACATGGTGCAATGACCCCAACGACGATAGAGCTGTCCAAATAATCCCAACTTCTTCGACAGAAAACACTGTAATTAACCCTAAAGAGGATGAAGTTACGGTCATAACCTGCCCTTCATGTGGCCATAGCATGGAACTCCTAGATCAGGTACCATATCATTTTCTCCTTGTTTGTATGCATATGTATATGTGTGTGTGTGTGTGTTTGTATGCATATATTTCTTGTATTCACAAAAGACACATAGTTGATTTTGGCTAAAATAGGCATATTTATGCATCTTGGCATGATGCTTAGATTACCATCAAGTCAAAGGACAACGCCTCACAGAGAGAAAAGAATTAAGCGAACTCTTGTGACCAATTTCCCTATCCTCTAGGGATTTGGGGTCATTCAAAAAGAATTGGAGGGGAGAGCCTGACCCATCATGTAGATGTACCAAATCCCGCTAAACCAAGAAAGAAAAAATATGAAGATAAAGATTAGAATCCACCAAAATCTTCTCCCGATGCTTATAAAGCCAAATCTTCTAATGAGATGAAATCTAGAAAATAAATACGGTTTTACAAATGGGACATTATGTGTATATATATATAGTTGAACGTTTAGGGGGTGTGCAGTGCATCTCGACTAATGTCCTCTTTAGTGTAATCAAAAGTAGGTTATTCACACTAGGATAAAAGTATTCACGAGAAATAAATCTATTTCAAGGAATTGTAAAAATTCGAACTTAGGACGTTGGGTTTACCATTTGAGTTACCCCTTAAAATTTTATATATATATATATGTGTGTGCGTGTGTGTGTGTGTGTGCGTGGGTACATATAGCTTTTATAAATGGGTGATTTTTGTGATGAACATGAAATAGAAGGGAATTCATGATTTGCCGGGACTGCCTGCTGGAGTGAAGTTTGATCCATCAGACCAAGAAATTCTTGAACATCTAAATGCAAAGGTGCAGTCTGATACGCACAAGATTCATCCTCTAATTGATGAATTTATTCCCACTCTTGAGGGGGAGAATGGAATTTGCTACACTCACCCTGAGAAGTTACCAGGTGAATATCATGTAACCTTGAATTAAATGCAACTTTATTTACCTCTTTAGATCTGTTGTATGTCAATTTATTTTCCATACCTGCTCTAAGTTTTTTTTTTCTATTGTCGTTAGGACTTTGTCTCGCTTATGCCCTCTTATATAGGTTAGGGGAGAGCCGGGTGGATTACCTTTGGGAGCTAGGTCGAAGATTTTGAGGTGGCCTTGTGACTTGTGAGTGCTAGATACACTGCAATTGTTGCTTTCTCTAGGATAGTTGAGAGGTTTAACAAACAAGAGGCGAATTATAAATTTAGACGTCCTGAATTCGAATATTGGTAATCCTTTGGAGCTGAGGTATGAGGAATTTATCCTTAATGAATATCTTAATCTCAATGATCTATTTTTGACCGAATCGATGAGGAGATTAGTCAAGATGTGTAAGTTAGTCTAGACACCCCTTAACGTTGAACTTAGAAAAAACAAAGGTACATATTATTTCACTGGTTAGGTAGAAGGTGACCACCCTAATGAATTAACTATGAAGATGGTTGTTAGTTAGATCAGCACTCAATTTACTTGTTTTGAACTTCATTACTTCTCTGCTTTTCTCTTTTCTGTATAGTTGTTTCTTGGGGAATTCATTACTGTTCTGCTTTTCTTTTCATACTTTGGGATTGAGAACAAAATTTTAGAATCAGTTGGTGATAATTGCGTGGAACTCACTCATACTGTGAAATAGAAAACCCTAGATCTTGGCTTTTCTTTCCTGAATTACTGTTAATCTCTCACCTAGAGGGTGCATGTATATTCCATTGGTTGGGGTCTTTTGGAAAGAAAATAAGATCATGCAAAAAATGACTATTTGAGTCGGGCAAAAATTGTCCGAAGTAAATACTTACTTTTTGCTTCAGTTTTTTCATCGGTAATTTATCGACACTAATATGTTTTTACTTTGACAATAGACTGAAGCTAACTTTTTACATCAAAATATTTTTTCCTTACCCCCTTTGCCGAAGTAAAAAGTCTTAGTGTCAACGTAAATACTATTTGCTTCAACACTGGACTTTTTTGCTTCGGGTAAGAGCCAAAGCAAAAATCAGTTTTTTTTTGTAGTGATAGAGCTAACTTGCATAAGATTGTAGTTGTGGGTTGGTTTGCCTACTAATGCTAGTTACTTAACACTCACGTACTGGTACAAGTGTTAGAAGAAGATTTGAAAGACATGCTCAAAATACTACAAACTCCAACTTTGGAAATCTTGTTAGAATGTTAAACTCAAAACCAATTTAACGAGTAACGATCTTACTAATTTGTTTTTTTCATCGATGTGAAATTAGCTCTAATATATAACCTTGTCTCATGAACTTTTGATAGAGCCCGTCATGCCTTTAGTAAATTTGTTGCTTAAGTAATCTTGTCTCAATATCAATGATTGACATGGCATTCATAAACTGGACTAATGGACTTTCCATTTTGATATCTGTTGAAATCACCTTTTTTTCGTAGTTTCTTGTGAACTCAACTTCTGGAAGAGCATTGGCATACAAGTGCAAAGTTCATATAGAATTTCTTCATAGCGCTTTAGTTTTCAATAAGGAAGAATGTTTTCGATGCAGACAAAACTCACGTAATTTCAATTGTTTCATGTGATATATGTCCATGTACCTTGTCTATACAAATTGTCTAGAAGAACAACACTATCCTTCAAAATAATTATCATATACTATAATGCTGAATGGAGTTATATAAAAGTCCTCCTCATATAGTTTCTTCCACCTTTTGGTTTGGTTTTGATGTTTATATTTATGGTGAATGTCTTGTATTCCGTTTTGATTCGGCCCAGATTCTGATTAAGAAATTTCCAAGCCTTTGTCTAGAGGACTGGTCCAGAATAAAGATTGATAGCTTTTTAGATATCTAATCTCTTCAAGATCTGGAAATCTGATTCTATAAGAAACAAAGATATTTAGGTGCTTATTCTCTCTATTTAGTTTATATTTGGCTTGCATCACTTTTCTCTCTCATTATCCTTATAATTAATAAATTTGCAAAAGTACCAAAATTATTTCAGGAGCTGGTAATTGTCCAATTTTCTTGGCCTTTTCGGCCTGTTCCAAGGTATCCCTACGTATCCGACCCGTATCCCACAACAAAAAATCCTTGCTTGCTGTTTAGGATACTTGCAGAAGTGTCGGACACGTGTCCCATGCGTATCTGCGTTTGACACGTGTCTTACATCACCACATCGACCCTTGGCGAGTATTTGTACTTCCTAGCTTTTTCTTCTATGATCTGGTCAAACTCAATGTTGAATGGTGCCCAAGCCTTAATTTATTACTGTTCTTATCGGAAAATATGAAATTCTTTTCTTTTCATGTTTGAACATGCAGGAGTGAGCAAGGATGGTCAAATTCGCCACTTCTTTCACCGGCCTTCAAAGGCCTACACAACCGGGACTCGAAAACGAAGAAAGGTGCACACAGATGATGATGGTGGTGAAACAAGATGGCACAAAACAGGCAAGACTAGACCAATTATAATATCAGGAGCTGTGAAAGGGTATAAAAAGATATTAGTCCTCTACACAAACTATGGTAGGCAAAGGAAGCCAGAGAAGACTAATTGGGTAATGCATCAATACCACCTTGGTCATAATGAGGAGGAAAAAGATGGAGAACTAGTTGTTTCAAAAGTGTTTTTCCAAACACAGCCTAGACAGTGTGGTTCAAGTGGAAAAGAGTCCGTTGATAAAAACTCTAAGTCTCTAACCAAGGATGATAATCCTATGATGAAGAACACAAGCTTTGTTGAGTATTATAATCCTTTTATCTCTTACAATATTGGGAGCCACAATAGAGATAGCACACCCCACATGATTCCCAATTTGGTTGTCCATGGTGATGATTCATCCTTTATTCATCTACCTACCAGTGCAAGCAAAGGAAACTGAGAAAATTCCTATGGAGAAAATGTTTCTATATATTTAGTGTGACAATGATAGTGATATAGTTAGCGGTGTTTATTGCTAGTTGTTTCAAGATTCAGATCCCTTCTAGCTCATTTTTATTGATTAGCCATCGTATATTTGTGGGGACACACTTGTATACAAGAATCCCACTTAATAACGAAGGGTGATCGACCATTGGTAGAAGTTACGGGAATGTGTATTAGAAGGAATCGAAATTCGTTATTTTATAGTGAAATAAGTTAAGATGAAGATGTTATTGAGGCTGCCAAGGGAATAAAAAGGTGGGTTTCTTTCAAGTATAGAATCATGTTCTTAGTAATTGGGTGGAGAAAAGCGACCATAACGATGTTATTGTAGGATTTTTTCAGCTGATATAATAGGAGGGATGTACTACATTATTTTTACATATATTGTGGAAAAGCTTTATGTGTTGATTGTAAAAATGTACAAAGATAATGTCTTGCAAACTTCTCTAGGTAATTTGGTACCTTTAGTTTCAACATTGTGATCATGATCTGTAACTTTTTTGCAAACTTTCTAATGCAATTTCTATAATCTCTCTCTCTCTCTCTCCCCAAATGATATGCACGAGACCACAAACAAACAACAAAATGAGACCAAAATTAAAAAAAAAAAAACACAAAACATGTGAGATAAAGTGTTTGTCAATTTAGTCGCTCATAAAACCTAGACACGTGGCATTTTGAGGAATAAGTGGCAACTTTTTTTTCGCTGGTTGGAATAAGTGGCAACTTGATGTAACAAGAGCACATCCTTCCTCGAGCAACAGTGATCTTTCCCTCGAGGCAAGAGTGGCGTCGTGGGAACAGAAGGTGGCATGGAAAGACGAAGTCCGCCTTTTACCGTGAGACTCATAGTGTATCATGACATGGCAAGCGCATATCCATGGAGTACAAATTCTATGTCTACAAGACAAGAGTAACATCATGAGGTTCAAAGGATAATCGATATGGAAAGCTCATGCCCCTCCTCGATCCTTGACCAAAGTGGGGAAGAGCATCATCGACCGCATTGAAGTTAACTTGGAAACACATAGTCGCCCCTTCACCATAGAATTGCAAAATGGATCTTCATCCAAAACACGAGAGTGGCCCGCTAGTATATCACCATGAAAGTGATAAATGGATCATCGTGCAATCAACAAGAATGACACTGTGAGCATATCATCGCTAAAATGATAAATGGATCATTGTTCAAAAGGAAAATAGTGGTACTACGAGCATTTGGGGGCAATCTTGGCACGACCTAGCCAGTCCACATCCTCCGTCACGGAAGTAAAGGCATATAGGTGGGATCCTATGAATATTGGAGACTATATCCCTAACAAAGGATATAATGTTGCTCAACTGGCCCAAGGGATCAAGAGGAGAGGTTGTTGGACTTTTGTGGAGTCTAGTTTTTTTTAATGAAAATTTTTTTTAGACTTAGTCCATGGAGCGAAGGCTTGGGCCGAAATTCTGAAATTAGTCAATTTTGGCCTGCTTTGTAATCCGATGTAAGACATATAAAACTTGTTATTTTAGGTGATTAGGATTTGATTGACTCTGTACGGTCGTTCTATATTCCTTATTGATAATAGTGAAATCCCTGCAGCTTTCGTGGATATAGGCAAATTGGCGAACCACGTAAATATTATCTTGTGCGTGTGATTATTTTTCTTTGGCGTGTATTTTCTATATTTTTGTTTCTCATAGGTTTGAAAATTTCGTGTGAATTTTCTAACAACTAATATCAGAGCCTGGTTTAGGGTTGAGTGGGAGCAATAGGAAGTACGAAAGGTGTCTGGAATAGATAAGTTCGATGACATAGACTTTAAATTCTGGAGGATGCAAATCGAGGATTATCTTTATGGGAATAAGTTGCATCTGTCACTTTTAGGAGAAAAACCTACGACTATGAAGGATGAGGATTGGACTTTTCTTGACAGACAAGTACTGTGAGTTATCTGGTTAACTCTATCTAGGTTTGTTGCTCACAATGTTGTAAAGGAGAAGACTACATCAAATCTGATGAAAGCTTTGTCTGGTATGTATGAAAAGCCGTCAGCAAACAACAACGTGCATCTGATGAAGAAATTGTTCAATTTGAAGACGGCAAAAAACGCATCAGTAGCATAACATCTGAACAAGTTTAATACTATCACAAATCAATTGTCGTCTATAAAAATTAATTTTGATGATGAGACTCGTGCACTGATTGTTTTAGTTTCCCTGTCAAACAGTTGGGAGGTAACGAGGATGGCAGTAAGCAATTCTACAGGAAAGGAAAAACTGAAGTACAATTACATACGAGATTTAATTTTGACCGAGGAAATTTGCAGAAAAGATCCAGGTGAAACCTGAGGATCTGGTTCTGCCCTAAACCTTGAGACAAGAGGCAGAGATAATGATAGAAATTCAAATCGGGGTAGATCAAAATCCAAAAAATTTTAATCAGAACAGAAGTAGATCTAGATCATACCAACAAGCAAAATGCTAGAATTATGGAAAAATGAGTCACTTTAAGAGGCAATGCAAAAGTCTTAAGCAGAAGAATAAAGATGATTTTGCTAATGTTGTAACGGAAGAGGTACATGATACATTACTTTTTGTAGTAGACAGTCCACTTGATGATTGAATTTTGGACTCAAGAGCTTCGTTTCATACTACTTCACACCAAGAAATCATGCAGGACTATGTTGCAAGTGATTTTGGTAAGGTGTATTTGGCTGATGGTACAATCTTGGATGTTATGGGTATGGGAAACATCTAAATATTATTGTTCAATGGGTCTATTTGGTTACTGGAGAAGGTTCGACATATTCCTAACCTGAGAAGGAATCTGATTTCTATTGAACAACTTGATGATAAAGGACATGTTATACTGTTTGTTGGTGGTACTTGGAAGATCACAAAGGAAGCTAGAGTAATGGCTCGTGAAAAGAAAACTGGTACTCTATATATGACCTCAAGTCCAATAAACACAATTGCATTCGCTGAACCAAGTACTGATACAAGCTTATGGCACCGCAGACTTTGTCATACGAGTGAGAAAGGAATGGAGATGTTATTGTCAAAGGGAAAACTATTAGAATTAAAGTCTGTTGATTTTGACATGTGTAAAAGTTGCATCTTAGGAAAGGAAAAAAAAGATGAGTTTCTTGAAAATTGGTAGGACACCAAAGGCTGAAAAATTGGAGTTAGTACACACGGATTTGTGGGGGCCTTCTCCAGTTACATCCCTTGGAGGTTTAAGGTATTACATCACTTTCATTGATGACTCAAGCAAAAAGGTATGAGTTTATTTTCTGAAAAATAAATCTGATGTATTTGATACTTTTAAGAAGTGGAAGGCTATGGTTGAGACAAAAACATGTGTTGAAAGTAAAATGTTTGAAGTCAGACAATGGGGAGAGTACATAGATGGAGGGTTTAGTGAGTATTGTGCTGCACATGGAATCAGGATGGAGAAAACCATTCTTGGAACACCATAGCAAAATGGTGTAGCTGAACGCATGAATAAAATTCTCAATGAGCGTGCTAAGAGTATGAGGTTGCATGCTGGAGTACCAAAGACTTTCTGGGTTGATGCTGTTAGTACTACAGCTTACCTGATAAATCGAGGACTTTCAGTTCCCATGGAATTCAGACTTCCTGAAGAGGTATAGAGTGGTAAAGAAGTAAAGTTTTCCCATTTAAAAGTTTTTGGTTGTGTTTCATATGTTCATCTGGATTTTGATGCTCACACTAAACTTGATGCAAAGTCTAGAATATGTTTTTTCATTGGCTATGGTGATGAGAAATTTGGCTATCGTTTTTGGGATGAACAAAACAGAAAAATCATCAGAAGTAGAAATGTGATATTTAATGAACAGGTTATGTACAAAGACAGGTCAACTGTAGTGTTAGATGTCACGGAGATAGATCAGAAGAAATCTGAGTTTGTCAACTTAGATGAATTGACTAAAAGAACTGTCCAGAAAAGGGGTGAAGAAGATAAGAAGAATGTAGCATCATAGGTAGATCAGAGTACACTTATAGCTGATGTTTGTAGATCTTTTAGGAAAATTAGACCTCCACAGCGTTATTCACCCATTCTAAATTACCTTCTGTCGACTGATGGTGGTGAGCCAGAGTGTTATGATGAAGCCTTGCAAGATAAAAATTTAAGCAAGTGGGAGTTAGTTATAAAGGATGAGATGGAGTCCTTGCTGGGGAATCAGACATGAAAACTGACTGAATTGCCAGTAAGGAGGAAGGCTTTGCACAACAAGTAGGTATATAGAATTAAGAATGAGCATGATGGTAGCAAGAGGTATAAAGCCAGATTAGTTGTCAAAGAGTTCCAGCAGAAAAAGGGCATTGACTTCTCAGGAATTTTTTCTCCAGTTGTGAAAATGTCAACAATTAGACTAGTATTGGGAATGGTGGCTGCAAAAAACCTACATCTTCAGCAGTTAGATGTGAAGACGACATTCCTTCATAGTGACTTGGAAGAAGACATTTACATGACTCAGCCAGAAGAGTTCATTGTTCAAGGGCAAGAAAATCTAGTCTGCAAACTGAGAAAGAGCTTGTATGACCTAAAACAAGCTCCAAGATAGTGGTATAAGAAAATTGACAGTTTTATGCATAAAACTGGGTTCAAGAGATGTGAAGTTGATCATTACTGTTATGTTAAGTTCTTTGACAATTCTTACATCATTTTACTGTTATATGTGGACGATATGCTCATTGTAAGGTTTAGCATTGAGGAGATTAATAATTTAAAGAACTAATTGTTAAAACAATTTTCAATGAAAGATTTAGGAGTTGCAAATCAAATCCTTGGTATGAGAATCATTAGAGACAGAGCTAATGGTTTATTGAAGCTTTCACAGTCAAAGTATGTGAAGAAAATTCTTAGCAGGTTCAACATGAATGAAGATAAACTAGTGCGTACACCCTTGGGTAGTCACTTCAGACTCAACAAAAATCAGTCACCCAAGACAAATGATGAACATAACTACATAAGTAAGGTTCCTTACGCTTCAGTTGTTGGTTCACTTATGTATGTTATAGTCTGCATAAGACCGGACATTGCCCATATAGTGGGAGTTATGAGTAGATACATGAGCAACCCAAGAAGACAACATTCGGAGGCTGTGAAGTGGATTTTGAGGTACCTAAAAGGTTCCTCAGAAGTATATTTGTGTTTTACCAGAGATAGTTTGGAGTTACAGGGTTTTGTTGATGCCGACTTGGCCGGAGACACTGATAGTAAGAAGAGCACCACTGGTTTTGTTTACACCTTGGGCGGTATTTGCCGTGTCTTGGGGTTCTAACTTGCAGAAGACAGTATCCCTTTTTACTACAGAGGCCGAGTATGTTGCAGTGTCAGAGGCTTCAAATGCGATGATTTGGTTACAGAGTTTCTTGGAGCAAGACAGTGGTATAAGAAATTTGACAGTTTTATGCATAGAACTGGGTTAAAGAGATATGAAGTTGATCATTGCTGTTATGTTAAGTTCTTTGGTAATTCTTACATCATTTTATTGTTATATGTGGTTGATATGCTCATTGCAGGGTCTAGCATTGAGGAGATTAATAATCTAAAGAACCAATTGTCAAAATAGTTTTCAATGAAGGATTTGAGAGCTGCAAAACAAATCCTTGGTATGAGAATCACTAGAGACAAAACTAATGGTACATTGAAACTTTCACAGTCAAAGTATGTGAAGAAAATTCTCAACAGGTTCAACATGAATGAAACTAAACCAGTGAGTACACCTTTTGGTAGTCACTTTAGACTCAACAAAGATCAATCACCCAAGACATAGGATGAACATATCAAACACATATCAGAACCAATTCTCTCATCCTATTTGTGTTACACATATCAAACACATATGTTGACTGTAGTTTAACTCCCCACCTATAGGTTCAAAAGTCTATGTCTACAAATAAAATGCAATAATAACAGTTCATTTTAACTGGGTGGTACAACTGTACACTGTATTCTTATGATAAAATTCAAGAGAATAACTACTTAACTACTTTATTTGCAACAAAGTTATTATTCCCTCAATTCCTAAATATGTGACGTTTATGTTCCATTTGGTATGATGTAAAAATGGAAGGATGGAAAGTTGAAATGATAGAAAGTTGGAGGGATAAATAAAACATCATGTTTGGTAATAAAGAAAAATAGGACGGATGGAAAAATGAACGGATTAATTTTCCTTTCAACTCACCAAAATCAATCCCTCTAAAATCGGAAGAAAGGTGGATGGAAAGTTAATTATTTGGGTTGAAATGTATTTTATTTATCTATATATTATGTATACATTAATTTCATATAAAAATGTAATGATAAAATATGTATTTATATATATATAAAAAAAAACTAAAAACTAAAAATAAAAATAAAAAATTTAAATTAAAAAAAAAATTCATCTTAATTAGGGGTGAAAATTTTCGATTTACCACGATGACACAACTCGAATTCGACACGAATTTTATGACACGAACTTGATTATAACTCAACACGAACTTGAAAATGACCTAACACGCAAACAAAAAATATAAAATGCTTATAATTTATGACATAACACGAATCTGACACGACACGACTCTATTGTCATCCCTAATATTAGACAAAATAAATTAAAAAAAAATTGGTCATTTTTATTTTCCATCCATCTAACCAAATACAAAGGAAGGAAAATGTATCATTCATATTTTTCATCATTGAAAGATAGAAAGTGTGTCCCTCATACTTTCTATTCTTACTATCAAACGAAACATTAAAGTTTTTACACACAGATGAAAGAAGTTATTAAATGAGTAATGTTACACTAACTAAATTTTGGGACCAAATTTAGGACCTAAATGAAATGTCAGTTGATTATTTGAAGTTTTTATTGGGGCCCAAATAATATGACACCAATCAAAAAAGTTCAAGTCAACTGCTATGTCATTTGAGTTCTAAATATGATTCTAAAATTTGGTCAATTTAGTATTGTTATTAAATAGCTATAATATGAGTAAAAGATAATTGCACAAGACTAAAATATTATTATTCAATAAAACACCTTTGAAGCACTTATTGAAAAACAGGAATAAGGGTAAATTTAGATAAAAAAATATTAATTATATTTTAGTTTTATTAAACGTCAAATATTATAACATAAAAAAAATTATATAAAACGTCACATATTTAGAAATGGAGGGAGTATATGCTTTACCTACGAACCCTACTTTCCTAATTAGATGTGATTCTCATTCATTATCAGATTGCATTTTTTTTAACTAAAAAACCTTAATTTCCAATTTGAGCCAGATTTCCAAGTGGTTTCATGTTGGATCAGCTGCAAATTAAGTGAAATACAAAACATCCACGGCACAAACAATTGTGACAGCCATTTCATGTATTGAGGCTACAAGATTAAGCAACACAAGATCATGCGTTGTGTTAATGAAAGGGTAAAATAGTCATTTTATAACATTCATTAGTTCAGTTTGTCTTCTGTTTATAATAGGGGTCTCAATGTAATTTATTAAATGTGAGGGGTATTGTTTGATTAAGTGATAAACCTCAGTGGTCTAAGTGTAATTTATCCAACTTTATATATTGCCCAGCGCGTCCGTGTTATTTCCTATTTCGAAATTGGAGAGTGTGTTCAAAAAAATCGGAGAGAGAGAGTGGGAGCGGAAGATAGACGACGATCATCTCCATCATCAACGCCGAGACGACGATTTATTGGAGGCAAATTTCTTTTGCATCTATATTACAGCCATGAGAGAGAAGTTACGCCGATATTAGGACTCTTGACTCACACAACGAAGTTCTTTTCTGGAGACCATCGCCGATATTACCGTTCTTTGCCGAACCTGCATTCCGGTTAGTCGTTCTTTGCCGAACCTCCATTCAAGTCATTCTCTAGAAGTTGTTTTGGCGACTTGTGAAATTTTATGAATTTTCAGTTGGTTGTTAGTTTTCGAAAAAGATTCTTTCATCTTTTTTGGAGATTTTTGCAATTTAATGTATTTCGATGCATGTGAGACTTTACAGGATTGTGTATTTCTACTATCGCCGATATTACCGTTCTTTGCCGAACCTGCATTTCTGTGAATGGTTCTTTGCCGAACCTGCATTCTGGCAAGTCATTCTCTAGAAGTTGTTTTGGCGACTTGTGAAATTTTATGAATTTTCAGTTGGTTGTTAGTTTTTCGAAAAAGATTCTTTCATCTTTTTGGAGATTTTTGAAATTTAATGTATTTCGATGCATGTGAGACTTTACAGGATTATGTATTTAGGTTGTTTACTTTAGATTTTACTAATTTTATTATTTGTCGTTACTTAATATCTGTGATCAAGGAATCGTGCATAACACTTCTTGTGAGTGCAAAAAATATTGTGGACTTTTTTTTTCTTTTTTGTATATTTAAACTCCTCATATTCATAAATTTTTTAAGACCTGTTTGTGCATTATTCCTAATAATGAACAGTATGAAGGATTCAAGAATATGATTAAAGAACTTAGAAGAAGATGATCAAAGCTTTGCTGCAGAATATCCTTCCATCTCTCAGTCAACTTGTAGTAATCCTATATATACAGATGCAAAACTGTCTATTATTATTACAACCCTCAAATTAACTGATTGTTAATTGGACAATTGAGCTTAGTTGATTGAATTGGAGTCTTTACTTAACACAGTTTGCATGATTCTGTTAGATTAGGTTTTTAGTAAATTATAAATAACTGGTTGTTGAGACGTGGAAGAAAAAAGAGGACCTGAGTATGCTGGAAATTAATGAAAAAGTTGAAAAGCTATTATTAACTTTTAAGAAAGAATGAAAACCTTAGGCGTTTTATGTTGGCACATATTTTAGGGGATTTCCTTCTCCTTTTTTATGTCACTTGAGGGTAATATTCCTATAAATATATTAGAAAATTTGAGTGAATATTATAATTTCTTAAAGTTGTTGAATGTCATAACATATCTTGAAATTAAGGTCAATCATGTCTTTACCAATAATTGACTAATTTGCATGAAATTGTTCATTGGCCTTGTTCATGGCAAAGAGTCATGCAAGATAACACATATGGTGTGTTTAAGATAGTTGGATATCTTCTGATTGCATTTGTCACAATGTTCAAGAAGTTACTATTGACATTTTAGGCTGTATAATTCCTCTTACCAACATCTTTACACATGCCCAACCCGTTAATCCTAAATTCTGAATTTATATTTTGTCTTCAAAAAAGTTATATGAACCTTCCGTGGAAAATGCTATTACTAGGAAAACTGTTTTTCATCGTTGATTTTTTATCAATATGCACAATATTCAAACTATGCAGTCAATCATCACTTTTTAGTATTGTTGATATTCTTTGTCTTTTATTTTTGGTTTCATAAATTCCTATTTCTTCCATCTACTCAAAATACATGCTCACATGTCTTTACTTTTTCTTTTCTTTTTTTTTTTCAAAATGATCTGCCGGGATCGCCCTTCCTTCTGGGTCTGACAAAGCTCTTCTCATGTAGCAATGACAAAACTTTGCCTCTATGGGACTAAAATACTGATTAGGTCAGTGTTATCTGTTCTGATTATTTTATTTGTGAATGGGTTCTCTTAAAATTTTGTACATATTTGTTATGATTTTTCCATGTGTAATGCATTGTGCTGCTGTTGTTAAACTTGAGAGCACAAGTGGGACTTTGATCAGTGAAGTCCATGGGTGTTTGTTGGATTGTGAAATGCTGTTAAGGTAGTTTTGTTTGGTTCGTTAACATAAATAATTTTTATTGTAGCCAAGCCGTCTTGATAAAGTTTTTCCATTGCATTGTTGATGGTACTTTTCCTTCATTTGGCATATTTGGGTGATATTGTAGGCATGGGACATTCAGTTTAATGGTGAACACACTCTTAATGGACTAGTTGGGCAAATTTATGCCTTGGTTTGTGGATAATGACTTGCTTTTTGCTGCGACATAGGTAACTGTTTTCAGGACTATTGAATTGCTTCATGTCTTATTTATTTGCTAAAAAACTTGAGTGGTTAGGCACTTATTTTTTACACCTTTGTGACTGCAAGATGAGATCATACTAGTTTAGAAATCCAGCTTTGTAACCAGTTGCCCTGAACTGGCTACATCGTTGTTAAAGGGTTACACCCGTCCTGTGCTTTCTCTCGTTGTTGGAGCCAATAGGCTCTACTTCGGTTCCATGGACAAGAAGGTAAGAGTATTTTGCAGTTCTAATTTTTTTCCTGCTAATATGCCTTCAATCTGTCTAGAGCATGTGTGAGACAACCTTCAACCTAATTTATTGTCTCTAATCTGGGGTGTTCTACATTTTTATGGTACTTCTGTACAAATTAATATGATTCTGGTCTATACACCAGTCTATGAAGTGGAGGCTTTGTCTGCTACCAAATATGAATGCGTGTGTGTTTGTGTGTGTGAAGTGCACTTGGTTCTGCATGCCTCAGTATCACATTTTTGAACTGTTGGTTCTTGATTTGCTCACAAATTCTATATTTAATGCTTGTAATGGATGCACACTATTCACAGCCTCGTTTTAGTGATCCTTGCCACTTGATGCATATTTTGGACCACCTTTACTGTTTATGGCTACATTATCGTATTTTGTGGCTACATTATCATATTGACTGAAATCAAGGAATATAAGAAGAAAACCTTGATAACAGAAAAGAATAACTAAATTTTTTTGTGCATAAATCTGACGAGTCAAGAATATCGTTGTTTGTGCTTCTTAATTTGGTAGTTCACAAATTGACTTCTAAATATCTTGTTTCTTCAGTTGTCGAGTATGTTTAAGTTCTTAGTTTTGCAAAGCATTATATATCATTGTATTTTTTCTTTCTTCAGGTCTGGGACCTCCAAGCTTTACAGTGTATCCAGATACTTAATGGTCATGCTGCTGTTGTGATGTCTGTCCTGCTGGGATAGCTTCTTGTTATCTGGTACCCTGGACAGTACAACTAACTAAAAGTGGGAACTTGGAAGTAGTATGTGAAAGTAATGAACAGCATGTAAGTAGTTCAACAACATCTTTTTCCTATATATTTTTGCGAACTATATTATGATATTTATGACCCAAAATATTTAGTTTTATGTGGTCCGTGGACTAATCAACATATTATTTATGACCAAATGTATTTCTGTTATCAATTTATCCTACAAGAAGTAAAGTTCATTGCCAATCGATAGCACAACTTCTTCAGGTAAGTTATTATATCCAGGTTCTCAAGATTTTCAAATATTCCATTTTCATCATCATTGTAATAGAAAAGCCATATTTACTAGTGAGAATGGTGCTGTCCAAGGCCCCATGGAAGTTGCAGCAAAAGTAAAACGTCAACTCCAAAGTAATTTTCTATGTGTAAATTTTGTAGAGAATAAAGTGTGAGATTGGTAAGAAATTGCTACCCCCAAGGCAAGAATGCTACAAACATGATATAATCCAAAGGAAATTTTTTTACACAAATTCCATGCCCTGTTGATTCGTGTTTCTTATTTCATTGAGTGTGTACATGTTCACTATTGAATATTCACATATCTATTCATCCTTGTGAATTTATTTCAATTGTTTTGTTTCAGTAATTGTAACGCAATTGAAAATTATTTTTTCATTGCATCACAACATTTTTTCCTACAACAATGTTACTGACTTTGTTGTATTCAATGCAAGCTAGGATCTTATGCCGTGGTTCAGTTAGTTTGATTGAGAAACATTGTCAACCCATCTTGCTGTGATGATCATTGCAAGAAAATTTGGTAGCATCTGCTCATATCATCCAAAATTGAGATTGTTGTTACAACCATATGCTGCTTTGGTAAGGAATAATGAGCATATGGGACCATGGGGTAAATTTTGTTGGTGAGTGTAATAAAATTTTTGTGCGGTTAGGTGCTAAGCCAATTAGCCAAAAGCCTTTCTATTGCTGCTATGACATTAAAAAAGACACATTTTATATAGAACTCATTGTGTCTCTCTGATGGACTGTTAGATAAATTGGTGGGGATAAAATTCATTTTTGGACAATACTTCTGTGCTGATGCAGTGTTAAAGAAGCTTTTTCATCCCAATATCAAACTTTTGCTTGTAAGTGAAGGGTCAAAAGGTTGCTGATAATACATAAAAATAAGACTATGAAACTAAATTTCAAATTATTTGTAATATGTCAAAATTGGGAATGATGGTTAATATTAGCGGAAATATTGTTGCTTTTACATATTCTGTTAGTCCTCCCTTTTCTTAAAAAGCTATTAGTTCAGATTGTTACGTGTTTGGTTTGTTGTTCCATACATATTCCTATGCAGATGTAAGTTTAATTAGGTATCTGATTGTGAATTAAAGGTTACCTGTCATTTACCAGTTCTGTTTCATTTAGTGGAGTCGTCAAAATATTGGTTTAATTAATTGGTAGTGGGATCTCTTAGTACCTTATTTTCTCTTGTTTGTGGTGGATGAATTTTGCAATGAATCAGGTGATGGTTTCTACAATTTACAATAGTAATTTGCACATTCTGGTCTTTTGTCCGTAAAGGATACTATCATTTTTTTCTTCTTCTGGTGAACAGTGTAAAATCCTTCATTTCCATGATTTCATTGATTGCTTTCTAAAAACAAATTGTTTTAACATCAACATAGATAAAAGGCCTACGACTAGCATCATGCATTATTTTGCTTTATTCTTGTTTGGTATGAGTGTTTGGCATATCTTGTTTTTCAGTCTTTCTTGGAAATAATCAGGTGAATGCTAGATCCTAATGCTGGTGGGTATTTGGATGTGCAAAAGCTTGGCAAATTGGATGCAACTTTGCGTCACAATAGGAAATGAGAGTCATAATTCGGACGGCTTAGGTCAACAATTTGAAGAATGTCTTATAACTTCTAAAAATAGCACTTAAATGCAAAAATGTGGAAAGATTTCATTCTAGCGGATATTTGGGATTTACTGATTTAAGAGATACCTTTGTCGATAGGTTCAAGGTTTGTTGCCTGTGTTTGGGATTGAAATCACATCAAATAAGATTGACTCGGTTAAGATATTTAAAATGTGAATAGTATATATAAATAACAGATACCTCAGTTTAGTTTATATTGACCTTCTGTGTAGTCTTATATTCCCATTCAATTACAAGAAGAAAAAGGGAAGCAGCCTGTTCCTATCGTGCTGCTTAATGTTATATGCATGCTAGTTGATGTGAATGTTTCTGTCAAGAAGCCCGATGTGGTGGATATGACATTGCCACTCTTTATTGAAAGTCTATAAGAGGGTGACGCTTCAACTCCTGGCTTATTGCGATTTTGAGTATGAACATATCTTTGTCAAGCATGTATTTAATGTAATTATATGTTTTCTGCTAGGAAAATTTCTTCGGTTGAATATATCATTCAAATGGCTAAGGCCTAAATCAAATCTGTTGCATGGTTTCTTAACATTTCTTTGTGGAGTTATTGCAGCTTCTTGATGTTGTTTCTTGCACGGTGAGTTTAGATTTTAAAAAATCCAGAATGTGTTGAGGTATGCTTTAGCTTATAACTTTTGAATAGTGTGTGATATTATCAGACTTCATTCTAGTAAGTGAATGTTCACTGGTTCATGATTCAATCACATTTCTATACACTTCCTGCAGGCTTTCATTTGATTGTGACCAGTCTTAGCGGCACTAAATTGAGGTGAGGCTATCGGCATCGTTTTCTATCTTTGTGCTCAGATGTAAGCTTGACTGCTAAGTTTAGATAGGTACAAATCCACTGGTACTGCTTAATGTCATGTCGTGGTTCAATTTAATAGGATTTATCTTCTGAAGTGATTTTTCTTATAATTGTGCTCTCTTTTGTTGGATTTCTGCACCAGTCATCAATTGTACAGAGCTCTCTTAACTATAGAAATATGGAAATTGGCAAGAGTGGAGCATATTTTCTTGAGCCTCTACTTCCAGTTGTGGTTGAAATATGTAAAGTTTTTCTTTGATCCTATTGTTGACGTTGAACCTTTTCCTTTGAAGTTATTTCGCAACATGTGTTCCTATGTTGGTTTCTGTGGGTTAGGACCTTCAATACAGGAAACTGTCCCTGATAAAGTCAGTTTCAACTAGCTTGAATTATGTGGGGAGCATTGATGCAATTGTTCTTCAAACAGTGGATGGACCATACATGTGGAATACTCGGTGGTCTTCTGCCGTTCAGCGTATATCTCAAGAGACCCCAACCCTCGTAAGTTGATCTTCAACAAAAATTAGCATGATTCTATTTCCATTTGACTTAATCATGAATATCTCTCCTTTTTTTTTGTTCTTTTGGGTCATCTATTAATGCTATCCTTCTGTATTAGTTATTCTATTTTGAAGTGTCTGGTACATGCATAACCTGTGATGCACATAATATCTTTTTGCTTTTTTTTTTTCTTTACCTCATAATGTCACATGTTTGTGGCTTGTCTTACATGAATCTAGGAGTGCATAGGCATGTCGCATCTGACATAAATGCAGCTGTGTCGAATATTATTCTTGCTACTTATATGTGGAATGATTGGAGATGGTCAAGCTATTAAGCTTTGACACAAAATGTTTTTCTCCAGGTTTTTATTTATGGGAATATCTTGAAGTTGAGTTGGAGCTTAATGCTCTTGATAACCCTGACAGTCACCAAGGGAGTGGCAACGAGAAAGCTGTTGTAAGCCAAGGAGTTGCTCTTTCTGCTGGTTTAGGTGGGAAAGTTGTGGTTGGAGCAATGAACACAATTTCAGGTATGGCAAACTCCTTAGTATTTACTGGTGAAACAGATATGGATTCTCTATGTTTCATGTTTGTTTTGCAAGCCAGTGGTTGTTGGCTTTAAATATTGAGCAAATTAGTGGTTATGGAATGTGCGTTGTAGGCTTCAGTGCTTATAGAATTGTTCAAATTAGAAGTCATAGTTTTATACAAATAATGTTGAAATGCCTCCTTTCTGACTTCTACGGGTGTCCAGGCCACTTATCTCCTTGCGGTAGCCTTTTTGCAGATAAGTTTTTCTTTAATTGCAGTAAAATTTGCTTCACTTTGGTGGGATCATAAAGTTATGGAAATATCCAATACTAACTTCTTCCCAGCCTTGCAAAGGTACCCTGGAGAAAAGAAAAATTTTTTGAAACAAAATGACTTGCCATTTGTTGAATGGCAATCAATAGGTTCTTTTCGGTATAATGGTGATTCCCGAGCATTATATACCAGTATTGCATGTTTTGTCCAGAGTGACATGCTGATCCTAGAAGCTCATTGTTTGCTTCCTCTTTGATCTTTGTTGTAACAATATTAGCTTCTTACCCACAAGGAAATGTGAAGCTAAATTAAGACAAGCTCAAAAGACAAATGTTCTTTAAGTACAATGTAATGGTGAGAAATTGCTCAACCCTTATCTGTGATTGTTGAACCCTCAACACCTTAGTGGATGTGTTCAAAGTTTGTTGCCTGCATTTGGGATTGAAATCACATTAAATGAGATTGATTGTGTTAAGATATTTATATCGTGAATAGTATATATAAATAACAGATACCTTAGTTTCTTTTGTATTGACCTTCTGTGTATTCTCATATTATCATTTAATTACAGGAAGAAAAAGTGAAGAAGCCCATTCTTATTGTGCAGCTTAATGTTATATGCATGCTAGATGATCTGAATGTTTCCGTCAAGAAGCCTGAAGTGGTGGATATGATATTGTCACTCTTTATTGAAAGTTTATAAGAGGGTGATGCTTCAACTCCTGGCTTATTGCGATTCTGAGTATGAACTTATATTTGTCAAGCATTTATTTAATGTGATTATATGTTTCTGCTAAGGTTTGGAAGTTTCTTTAGTTGAATTTATCATTCAAATGGCTAAGGTGTAAATCAAATCTGTCACAATGGTTTCTTAATATTTCTTTGTGGAGTTATTGCAGCTTCTTGACGTTGTTTCTCGCATGGCGAGTTTAGATTTTTAAAAATCCTATTGTGAAGCTATTGTTCGGATGACTCAAAGTTACTTCAGTAAGCTCTCCAACGTTGGATCTGCTGAAAGAAAAACCCTGGCACCCAGAAGCCATGATAGAACTGAGGTATGTTCTAGCTCATAGTGTGTGATATTATCAAGCTTCATTCTAGTAAGTGAATGCTCACCGATTCAATGGTTCAATCACATTTCTATACATTTCCTGCAGGCTGTCATTTAATTGCGACCAGTCTTAGCGTCACTAAATTGAGGTGAGGCTATCGTTTGCTATCTTTGTACTCAGATGTAGGCTTGGCGCAAAGTGTTGAAGTGGAAGGTAGGATCCACTGGTATTGCCTAATGTCATGTCTTGGTTTGATTTAATATGATTTATCTTGTGAAGTGATTTTTCTTATAAATTGTGCTTTCTGTTGGTGGATTTCTGCACCATTCATCGATTGTACAGAGCTTTCCTAACTAAAGAAACTTGGAAATTTGCGAGAGTGGAGCATATTTTCTTGAGCCTCTGCTTCCTGCAGTGGTTGAAATATGGTAAGTTATTTCGCAACTTGTGTTCCTATGTTGCTCTCTGTGGGTTACACCTCCAATACAGTAAACTCCGTCCCTGATAAAGTCAGTTTCCACTGGCAACTAGCTTGAATAATGTGAGGAGGATGGTTGCAATTGTTTTTCAAGCAATGGATGAACCATACATGTGGAATAGTTGGTGGTCTTCTGCTGTGCAGCATCTATCTCAATGAACCCCAACCCTTGTAAGTTGATCTTCAACAAAAATTAGCATGATTCTATTTTTCATTTGACTTAATCATGAATATCTCTCCTTTTTTGGTCATCTATAGATGCTATCCTTCTGTACCTATGTTGCTCATGCACATAATATCTTTCTGCTTTTTTTTTCCTTTTCTTTCAGAATGTGACATTGTGGCTTGCCTTACATGAATCTAGGAGTGCATAGGTGTGTTGATTTGACATAAATGCATCTGTGTCGAATATTATTCTCACTACTTATATATGGAATGATTAGAGATGGTCAAGCTATTAAGGTTTGACAAAATATGTTTTTCTACTTCTAGGAAATGGTTTGAAGTTGAGTTGGAACTTAATGCTCTTGATAACCCTGGCAGTTGTCTGAGGGAGTGGCAATGAGAAAGCTGCTGTAAGCCAAGGAGTTGCTCTTTCTGCTTGGTTTAGGAGGGCAAGTTGTGGTTGGACTTTGGAGCAATGAGCACAATTTCAGGTATGACAAACTCCTTAGTATTTACTGGTGAAACAGATGGATTCTCTATGTTTCATGTTTGTTTTGCAAGCCAGTGGTTGTTGACTTTCAAAGATTGAGCAAATTAGTGGTTATGGAATGTGCGTTGTAGGCTTCAGTGCTTATCGAATTGTTCAAATTTCAAACATTGAGCAAATTAGTGGTTATGGAATGTGTGTTGTAGCCTTCAGTGCTTGTCGAATTGTTCAAATTAAAAGTCATGGTTTCATACAAATATGATGAATGGCAATCAATGGGTTTTTTTCGGGATAATGGTGATTCCCGAGTATTGTATGCTAGTATTGCATGTTTTAGTATTCCATGTTCATCTCTTTATCAGAATCACCCTCTATGTTCATCTCTTTATCAGAGACACCTATGTTCATCTCTTTATCAAAATACCCGTAAGAAGACTATGAAGAAGACGACTATTATAAAGAAGATAAAGAACAAGAAGACAACTATGAAGAAGAAGAACAAGAACATGACCACTACGAACGAGAACATTACAAAAAAAGACGAAGAACAAAAAGAATACTAGATTATGGAGAAGAAGTCCTTGAAGAAGAAAAATAAGAAGATGATGACTACAAAGGAGAAGTCTACGATGAAGAAGAAAAAACTACAAGAAGAATAAGATTACTACAAGGAGGAAAAAATTACGAAAAAGAAAAAAACTAGATGATGACTACGAAGGAGAAGTGTACGACGAAGAAGGAAAAAACTACAACAAGAAGAAGAAGACTACAAGGAGGAAAAAGATTACGAAGAAGAAAAAAACTACAAGATGACTACGAAAAAAGAAGAAGAAAGAAGTTTCGAAGAAGAAGAAGACTGCGAAGAGAGAGAGAGAGAGAGAAAACCTGAAAAAGGGGAAAAATTGGGACTTGTGATGCCTCTATGTTTATGGTTGGGCCATAGATAATCACAACCAAATTTCTATCTCGTATGAGATTACGCAATGAAACTCAAGTCTCAAACAAACTCATCTCCAATGAACAAGACTATCATCTTCATCCTCTTCCTTTCCAGCGTAATGCATATTAAGTCACCCTCCATGTTCATCTCTTTATCATAATCACCCTCTATGTTCATCTTTTTATCAAAAACACCCTTTATGTTATCTCTTTATCAAAATACGAGTAAGAAGACTACGAAGAAGAAAACTAATATAGAGAAGATAAAGAACAAGAAGTCGACTATGAAGAAGAAGAATAAGAATATGAACACTACAAACAAAAACAAGAACACTGTGAAGAAGAAGACGAAAAAGAAGACTACGAAAAAAAAAGAAGACTAGATGATGGAGAATAAGAAGTTCTTGAAGAAGAAGATCACGAAGAAGAAAAATAAGAAGAATAAGACTACGACGACAAAGACTTCGAAGAAGAAGAAAAATAAGGAATATGAATAAGAAGACTGCAAAGTGGAAGAAGATTACGACGAAGAAAAAAAACTACCAGATGACTACGGAGAAGAAGAACATGAAGAAGAATAATAATGAAGTCTACGAAGAAGAAGAATATGACGACTACGAAGAAGAAAGAAACAACCTACAAATAAGAAGTTTCGAAAAAGAAGAAGACTTTGAAGAAGAGTAACAACAACACACTACAAAGAATAAATGGAATAAGAAGAAGATTGCGAAGAGATAGAGAGAGAACCTAAGTGGGGAAAGGTTGGGACTTGCGATGTCTTTGTGTTCGTGGTTGGGGCTTAGATAATCTACAACCAAATCTCTGGGTCTCAATATGTGTCTCTCGCATGAGATTGGACAACGAAGCTTAAGTCTTGAGCAAACTTATCTCCAATGGTCAAGACTATCATCTTAATCCTCGTTTTATCTCTTTCCTCTTCCTTTCCTTCCTCTCTGGCGTGGTGCGTATTAGGACCCTCTATGTTCATCTCTTTATCAGATTCACCCTTTATGTTATTTCTTTTTCAAAATACAAGTAAGAAGACTATGAAGAAGATGACCACTATAAAGAAGATAAAGAACAAAAAGATGGCTACGAAGAAGAACAAGAACATGAACACTATGAACAAGAATAAGAATACTACGAAGAAGAAGAATAAGAAGACTACAAAGAAGATAAAGACTACGAAAAAATGAAGACTAGATGATGGAGAAGTTCTTGAAGAAGAAAAATAAGAAGATGATGGCTACGAAGAAGACTGCGGCATAGAATGACGGAGAAGAAAAAGACTACGAAGAAGAAAAATAAGAAAAAAAGATTACGAAGAAGAAAACTACGACGACACAGACCACGAAGAAAAAGAAGAAGAAGAAGAAGAAGAAGAGAAGAAGACTATAAAGAGAAAGAAGATTATGAAGAACAAGAATGAAGTCTACAAAGAAGAAATAAACAGGTTACAAATAAGAAGTTTCGAAGAAGAAGAAAAAGAATAACAACACTATAAAGAAGAAATGAAATAAGAAAAAGTCCGCCAAGAGAGAGATATCCTATGTGTTCATGGTTGGGGCTTAGATAATCCACAACCAAATCTATGTCTCCATACGTGTCTCATATGAGATTACACAATGAAGCTCAAGTTTCGAACAAACTCATCTCCAATGGACAAGACTATCATCTTCATCCTCGTTCTCTCTCTCTTCTTCCTTCCTAGTCACCCTCCATGTTCATCTCTTTATCAAATTCACCCTCTACGTTCATCTCTTTATCAAAAAACCCTTTATGTTATCTCTTTATCAAAATATGAGTAAGAAGACTATGAAGAAGATGACTACTATAAAGAAGATAAAGAATAAGAAGACTACTACTATGAAGAACAAGAGCAACAACACTACAAATAAGAACAATACGAAGAAGAAGAATAAGAAGAAGATTACGAAAAAAAGAAGACTAGATGATGGAGAAGAAGTTTTTGAAGAAGAAAAATAAAAAGACGATGATTATGAAGAAAAAGATTGCGACGACGAATGGAGGAGAAGAAGAAAACTACAAAAAGAAAAATAAGAAGACAATGATTATGAAGAAAAAGACTACGACGACGAATGGAGGAGAAGAAAAAAACTACAAAGAAGAAAAATAACAAGTAGAAGATTACGAAGATAAAGACTACGACGACAAAGAATATAAAGAAGAACAAGAAGAAGAAGAAAAAGACTACAAAGAGGAATAAGATTAAGAAAAAAAAATTATAAGATGACTACGAAAAAAAGAAGAATGACGATTATGAAGAAGAAAGAAGCATCCTACAAATAAAAAGTTTTGAAGAAGACAACGAAGCTGAAGAAGAAGAACAACAACAATACAAAGAAGAAATGGAATAAGAAGGCTGCGAAGAGAGAATCCAAGAGGGGAAATATTGGGACTTGCGATGCTTCTATGTTCGTGGTTGGGGCTTTAGATAATCCATAACCAAATCTCTGTCTTCATATGTGTGGCTTTCGTATGAAGTTTTACACAACGAACTCAAGTTTCGAACAAACTCTTGTCCAATGGCCAAGACTATCATCTTCATCCTCGTTCTCTCTCCCATCTTCCTTTTCTTCCTCTCCGGCTTGATGCTTGTTTAATCACCCTCCAAGTTCATCTTTTTATCAGAATCATCCTCTATGTTCATCTCTTTATCAGGAACACCCTTTATGTTCATCTCTTTGTCTGGAACACTTTTTATGTTAATACGAGTAAGAAGACTATGAAGAAGACGATTACTATAAAGAAGATAAAGAACAAGAAGACGACTATGAAGAAGAAGAATAAGAACAAAAACATTACAAAAACAAAAACAAGAACACTACGAAGAAGAAAAATAAGATTACAAAGAAGAAGACGACTATGAAAAAAAGATTAGATGATAGAGAATAAGTTCTTGAAGAAGAAAAATATGAAGACGATGACTTTGAAGAAGAAGACTTCGACGATGAATGATGGAGAAGAAGAAGACTATGAAGAAAAATCAGAAGAAGAAGAAAATTACGAAGAAGATTATGACGATAAAGACTACGAAGAAGAAAAAGAATAAGGAATACGAATAAAAAGACTACAAAGAGCAAGAAGATTACGAAAAAGGAAAAAAATTGCAAGATGACTTAGAAGAAGAAAAAGACGACTTTGAAGAAGAAAGAAGCAGCCTGCAATTAAGAAGACTGCGTCACAAAAAAGGAAAACATTGCAAGATGACTAAGAAGAAGAAGAAAAAAACGACTTTAAAGAAAAAAAAGCAGCTTACAATTAAGAAGACTACAAAGAAGAACAACAACACTACAAAGAAGAAATGGAAAAAGAAGACCATAAAGAGAGAGAGAATCTGATAGGGTAAAAACTGGGACTTGCGATACCTCTGTGTTCATGGTTGTTGCTTAGATAATTCATAACTAAATCTCTATGTCTCCATATATGTGTCTCTCGTATGAATACACAACGAAACTCAAGTCTCGAACAAACTCATCTCCAATGGCCAAGACTATCATCTTCATCCTCTTTCCCTCTTTATCCTCTTTCTTTCCTCTTCGATGTGATGCATGTTAGGTCACCCTCCATATTCATCTCATTATCAGAATCACCCTTTATGTTCATCTTTTTATCAGAAACACTCTTTATGTTATTCTTTATCCAAATACGAGTAAGAAGATTACGAAAAAGACTATTACTATAAAGATGAACAAGAACATGAACACTACAAATAAGAATAAGATCACGAACACTGCGAAGAAGAACAAGAAGAACTACACTATGAAGAGGAACACTACGAAGAAGAAGTATAAGAAAGACAACAAAGAAGACTATGAAAAAAAAGAAGACTAGATGATGGAGGGCGAGTTCTTGAAGAAGAAAAATAAGAAGATAATGACTACGAAAAAGAAGACTTTGATGATGAATGATAGAGAAGAAGATTACGAAGAAGATAAATAAAAAGAAGGAGATTACGAAGAAGACTACATTGACAAAGACTACGAAGAATAAGAAGTAGAATAAAGAATATGAATAAGAAGACTACAAAGTGGAATAAGATTATGAAAAACAAAAAAAACTACAAGATAACTACGAAGAAGAATAATAAGACGATTTTGAAGAAGAAAGAAGCATCTTACAAATAAGAAGTTTTGAAAAAAAAAATATGAAGAAGGAGAACAACAACACTACAAATAAGAAATGGAATAAGAAAAAGACTGTGAAGAGAGAGAGAACCTGAGAGGGGGAAAACTGGGACTTTTGATGACTTGTGTTTATGGTTGGGGCTTACATAATCCACAACTAAATCTCTGTCTCCATATGTGTGTCTCTCCTATGAGATTACACAACAAGTTTCAAGTCTTGCACAAACTCATCTCCAATGGCAAAAACTATCATCTTCATCCTCTTTATCTCTCTCTCTCTCGTGTTCCTTTCCTTCGTCTCTGGCGTGATGCATGTTAGGTCACCCTTCATGTTCATCTCTTTATCAGAATGATCCTCTATGTTCATCTCTTTTTTAGAAACACCCTCTAAATACGAGTAAAAAGACTGAAGAAGATGACTACTATAAAGAAGATAAAGAAAAAGAATAAGACTATAACGAAGAACAAGAACATGA